GGGTGGCTAGAAGTTTCTAGCATGGGTTGCAAATGTTGCAACACCTAGGCAAAATCCAACTAGATTGGATTTTGCATGTGACACCTTAAGGACCTCATAATGAGGGTTGCATCCTTGCTGCTAGGAAGGTTCCTACCATCCTTCCCTAGCTCTTGGAGAACCCCTTCCCTCTCATGGTTCTCTTGGAGGTTCCCAACTCCAACTTTCTATCCTCTAATGCTTGTACTTCCTCCACCATTCTAGTCATGCGGCTGCTGGACGTTTTCACTTGGTTCTCACTCTATAGACCATCTTAACGACTGATTTAACTTGGAGATGGTATCTAAGTCTAAGGCGCAACATCCTACCGAGCGGATTTGCGTTTAGTTGAGAAATGGGTTCGTCGTAAGCTCTCAAAGTGACGGATCCTGAACAACAGGAGGTGCTGGTGCTGCTGGTGCTGGAGGAGCTGGAGCTGCTGGTACTGCCCCGCGGCGACCGTTTTTCTACCTACAGCCGCAGTCGTCCCTGCCGCCGTCTGACTCGGTCCTTCGCTAGGTTCTTAGTCTCCCGTCTTCCACTGGCCTCACTCCACCTCTCCTGTGTCCACCAACAGACCAGTCTCAGCCACAGCTACTGCCTGGCTCCCCGCTGCCTGCTCCTGCTCCTCACACTGAGGTGACTGAGTCCCTGACTGAGCGTCGTGAGCTTGAGACTTGTGCTTCTACACCTGTTCGTGCTCGTCGTGTCGCCTGTCCTCGTCCTCCTGCTGTCCCAGGCACTCACAATATGGCACTTCGTCCTTCCTCTGTTCCACAGCGTGTTGTCCTGCCCGAGCCTCCCGCGTCCTCTCTTCGGCACGTTCCTGACACTGAGTCTGACCTTGGTCGTGCTGCCAGTCCGACTGTCACTCCTCTCCTCGTTACTGTCGTCACTAACCCTGACTTTGAGTCTACTGCTGCGTTTGCCCTAGTCACTAAGCTAGTCGACTTTGCATTTAGGAGTCGTCTCGACTACGTCGCGAGTCTTGTTACTGAGTCTGAGTCTGTTTGTCATTCGACCGTCAGGGGTGAGCTTGCCCTAAGCAGAGACGTCCTTGAGGACATGCACTTTGAGCTTGAGTGTCTTGCAGCCGCTTTACCTCGTTTCGCATCCATGCTACTTTGCCCTGAGGGAGACCCGGATGCACTTGACATCCCTACCCTGCGCTCTTACGCTGAGGCGATCGCGGGTGAGTACTCCTCTCAGTGGCAGACAGCCAAGGACGCAGAGATGGCTTCCTGGAAGTCCACAGGCACCTACGTCGACGAGGTTCCTCCTCCTGGGGCGAACATAGTCGATGGCATGTGGATTTTCATAGTGAAGCGACCGGGTTCTCCGCCTGCCTTCAAGGCGCGTTACGTTGCTAGAGGCTTCAGTCACTGACATGGGGTCGACTTCTTCCAGACCTTCTCCCCCACCCTGAAGATGACTACTTTTCGGGTATTGCTGCACGTTGCAGCACAGCGTGACTACGATCTGCACTCCCTCGACTTCTCCACAGCTTTCTTGCAGGGCAGCCTTCACGAGGAGATCTGGCTGCGCCACCCACCTGGTTTCACTGGGTCGTTTCCTGCGGGTACCCAGTGGAGCCTCCGGCGGCCAGTCTACAGTCTCCGCTTGGTGCCCCGAGAGTGGCACGACACACTGAGGACTACACTTGCGGCTCTTGGGTTTGCTCCTTCCTCTGCTGACCCGTCGCTGTTTCTACGCACCGACACTACCCTACCGCCGTTCTACGTTCTCATATACGTCGACGACTTGGTTTTTGCTACTGCTGACACGGAGGCGCTGACCCTAGTGAAGGTGGAGTTGTAGGAGAGACACACTTGTGCTGACCTGGGTGAGCTGCGGAGCTATCTTGACTTGCAGATCACCCGGGACAGAGCACGGCGCATCATCACCCTGACTCAGTCACACATGATGCACCAAGTCCTTCAGCGCTTCGGCTTCCAGTTATCCTCGCCACAGCCCACTCCTCTGTCTACCGGCCACTTGCTCTCAGCTCCACCTTCGGACGAGTCCGTAGAGCCGAGTGGTCCGTACCCCGAGCTTGTGGGTTGCCTCATGTACTTGATGACGTGCACACGACCTGACCTCGCGTACCCTCTCAGCCTCCTGGCTCGCTTCGTGGCTCCCGGTCGACACCGAAAGGTGCACTGGGATGCTGCGAAGAGGGTACTGCGTTACTTGTGCAGTACATCGAGCATGGGGCTCGTTCTTGGAGGACGGGGTTCAGTGGTACCCACAGGACACTCTGACGCTTCTTGGGCCGACGACCAGGCGACTCAGCGTTCGTCACAGTGTTACACCTTCAGTCTTGGATCTGGTTCTGTCTCGTGGAGGTCCACTCGTTCTTCTTCTGTGCTTGGTTCCAGCTGTGAGGCCGAGATCTACGCTAGGGCCATGGCTGCATAGGAGCTATGCTAGCTGACCTACCTGTTGACCGACTTGGGGGAGCAGCCTCGTTCTCCTCCAGTTCTGTACGTCAACAACAAGTCAATGCTTGCCTTGTGTCAGGAGCAGAGACTGGAGCACAGAACGAAGCACATTGCTCTTCGCTACTTCCTTGCACGTGAGCTGCAGCATCGTCGTCAGCTCCACCTTTCCTACGTGGCCTCGCGGGCCAACACTGCTGATGTGTTCACCAAGGCCCTTGGGTCTGTTGATCATCAGCGTTTCTGCACTGCTCTTGGGATTGTGCCCACTCTGCCTCACCTGCTGGTTGCTTGACTTGCTCCTCTTGTACACTGATATATATATATATCTTTATACCTGCTTGTTTACTCTTGCTAGGTTGTGATCAGTGTACGGCCTTGCTATTATAACTCTGCATGTGAACTGGCCTTGTGGCCGCTTGCTTGTGCTCAGATTGTGTGGTATCATTGAGATCCACCGGAGCTTTGCTTTGCTTGTTCTCTTGCTTGACTGGTCTTTTGACCGTTTGTTGTGTTTGCTCTCTCCCACTTAGCCTATGGGGGTGTGTAAAACTGTATGTTTATGTTCTCTCTAGGCTGTAGTGGGTAGCCTACAAGGGGTACAACACTTTAGGGTTAGTACTTGTACCCAACTCATTCATAGTTCATTCATTCCTACACAGTTGATTCTGACAGGGTTATTGGAAGGAAATTTCCGGAAAACTTCCTCTCAATACGGTCAAATTCAGGGGCCGTAGAGTCGATACTCTGTTAAGTCAGGGACCACTAACAGAAAAGTCTATTACACTATACTCAGAATCAGGGATAGGAAAACTATTACTCTGATTGGATCAGGGTTGAGAAATCAATAATTATGAAATTTCATTATCAACTAAGTGGAAGGTCTGAAATGACCCTGAAATCAGGGTAATTACCCTGACAAAAACAGCCCTGGTGGGGATGAGCTTGAGGTGGTGGGGGGACGGAAAAAAAATGTCTGAAGAATATGTAAATCCTATAGATGGTACAAAATTGCCCAATATTTACAGGCTGTGAATATTTTCGTTGGAAATACTAGTGGAAGAAAAGTTGTAGAGTCTTAATAATCTCAAGCATGCACTCCTTGCTATTTACCGTACGATTTTGCAACTTACTCTTACCGAATTCGGCATTATGCTGAATGTTTGCTGGTCACCTCGCAGCTCCGCACGTTCCCCGTCGTGTTATGGCTAGCGAAGCGACTAGCTCTCGACGAAAGCCTAGCTCTATTCCATTTTGTCGCAAACGCGTAATCTCGGGATTAACGAGATACCGAAGCGACGTTACCACCGCCAACGCAGAGCCAGACTAGGTTCGGTCTCGGTGACCACTCAACTCAGCCTTCCAAAGCAAGGTCTCTCCTCTCCAAGTGTGCGAGTCGGGTAACCTGCCACACTTCACGCCATCCTGTCAGATACTAGAATAAGAACGAATATTAGAGACTCGGGACACCAATGTGGTTCGTTTCTGCGTTTAGGGGTCTCGAACGCAAAATGTCGCTGTAGCAAGGACGCGGTGTGCTGCTGCTACGTGCCGGCATTGCCGCTGACAAGCGGCAGGCTGGCAGCAAACGCCCGACGTGGCGGCATTGTCGCGACTCGAAGCTTGTAAAGGCTACTACCAGCAGCCTGCTTAGCGGAAGCTCACAGAATCCCCCGCTGTCCGCGCCACTCGCATATTACCACTGGCACAGCCTGAGGGAGTTGTTCGTGCACAGTCTGCCAAACCGTTGGTACTAGCAATCTGCCAAGCAGCCATCTGTAGCAACCCTACTTAGAGTCTTCTGAGTCGACTCGGAAGCTACCTAGCTCGCGCTGTCGACTCGGAAATCGCTATCCTGCCTGTGACGCTCGCGCTGTTCCCGGCAGGGCCTGCCGTTGGCGCGCGCACTGTTCCTGTCAGTGGCGCACGCGCTGTTCCTGTCACCGGCGCAAGCGCTGTTCCTGTCACCGGCGCAAGCGCTGTTCCTGCGCGTGGCGCGTGCCGCCGCAGGGACCTCGGCGATTGTTCATTCCCGTCATTTCCCGTCCGTAATGATGGCCTGGCACGCGCGCGCCTCATCATGCAGAGCGCTGATTGGGCTCGTGGTCCTGCTGCTGCTGACTCAGCAGCAGTGGCGCCTGGCGTCGTGCCAAGGAGCGACAGGTTAGTGGGTGAGGTACTCTTCCGCCAAGTGGTGGCACTGTCAGTGGTGGGTGGTAGTAGCAAGTGTGTTCCGAGTCGACTCACAAGCGCGTTTTCGCAAGTCAAATCAGCAGCAGTGGCGCCTGGCGTCGTGCCAAGGAGCGACAGGTAGGTTGTGAGTCAGTTGGTTGTCGGATATTCCACCAAAATGGTACCCTTGTCAGGCGGTGGTGGTGTAGTAACAAGTTTGTTGTTGTGAGTCGACTCTTAAGTGTGCTTTTTCACAGCTAAGAATACGCCTGACGTTTGCCTTTGTGCCAAGGAGCAACAGGTCCGTTGGTGACCGCTCGTGTTACGGCATTCACCCCCCATATTCCGCCATCTGGCTCCCCCTTGCCCCAGGTACCACCTGCACCAACCCCACCGCCACTGTCTATGTGGCCGGCCGAGGGGGGTCTCCTCACACCCGGCTGCGGCAATCAAAGGCCCCGCCCTCACCACCTTCCCCATCTTTCCCCACCCGGCTCTCTTTTGTCCCAGGTACCACCGCCCCCTGCACCAAGCCCACTGCCATTGTTTATGTGGCGGAGGGGGGTCTCCTCACACCCTGCTGCAGCCAGAGCCACCATCTTTCCCACATCGTTCCCACATCTTTCCCACATCTTTCCCACATCCTTCCCCTCCCAAAGCCCCCTTGCCCCACCCCAGGTACCGCCTGCACCACCACCACCACTGTCTATGTGGCCCAGGGGGGCCTCCTCACACCCTGCAGCGGCCAGAGCCCCCGTCTTTCCCACATCTTTCCCCTCCCAAACCCCCCCTGGCCCCACCCCAGGTACTACCACCTGTACCAAGCCCACCACCACTGTCTATGTGGCCCAGGGGGGCCTCCTCACACCCTGCTGCGGCCAGAGCACCCAGCAGCCATGCGGTGAGTGGAGTGAGCTTAAGCCCAGGCAATCCCCGACGCTCGTTGTGACTTCTTAGTCGGCTCAAAGTCAACAGCCAGCCAGCCAGCCGTGTGGTGTGGTGTGGTGAGCCTAAACCCAGGCAATGGCTGGCTGGCGCTAGCTGTCTCACCCTGTGAGTGAGGTTGTATAAGAGCTAACGTCAGCCCCCTGAGAAATCATTGAGATTTTTTTTGAGATTATTCCTCAAAGGCAATGATCGACAAGTTGCTGCCTCACTGAGAGGTGAGGCTTTTAAAGAAGACCAGCCCACTTTCTTTATGTGAGCTCTAGCGTTGCTTCGCATGTATATCCTTCCTCGTTAAAATCCTTCGTTCCAATCACCTTCATGCCTCTCTCGTGGCAACCCAACGGCAACGCAAACCTCTCCCACTGCTTTTTCTCCCCTCGCTCTCTTATCCCTCCATCCCTCCCCTCCCACGTCCACCACACAGGGTCCCTGCAAGCCGCCCTGAACAGGTACACCTTCCATTCCCATTCCACTCCACCCCACCCCACTGCACTCCACTTCACTCCACTCCAACCACTTTACTCCACTCCACATAAAATCATCCCAAGATCCCAACTGCGAGAGCGAATGTGATGTGCTTCTTTGTCGATCCCCCCACTCCACTCCACTCCACTCCACTCCACTCCACTCCACTTCACTCCACTCCATCCCACTCCACTCCAACCACTTCACTCCACTCCACCCCACTCCACTCCAACCTCTTCACTCCACTCCACCCCACTCCACCCCAACCACTTCACTCCACTCCACCCCACTCCACTCCAACCACTTTACTCCACTCCACTCCACTCCACGTCAAATCATCCCAAGATCCCAACTGCGAATGCGAATGTGCTTCTGTGTTGATCCCCGACGTTGCAGGGATTTATTGAGAGTTCTCAAACAATCCCTGCAAAATCATCCCAAGATCCCAAATGCGAGAGCGAATGTGATGTGCTTCTGTGACCATCCCCCGACCCCACCCCACCCCCCCCTCCCCCCCTCCCATCGCCTCGGAGGGAGCCACCATCCACATCGCTTCAGGCACCCACAAGCACTCACCTTAAACTCCCTTGAACTGCTATCCCAGTTTCCCTGTCCCGCTCCCATATTCACCTCCTCTCCCCCTTTCCCCCCCACCTCCCCACTCAACAGCGCTTCAGAAGGAGCCACCATCCACGTCGCATCAGGCACCTACACGCACTCCTCCCCGGCGCCTCTCCTCCTGCCCCACCTGCGCCTCTCCATCCTCGGTCCCCCACTCCACCTCCCCCCTGCCACTATTGACTGCTCCCACGGCCCCTGCTTCCAAGCGCTCTGCTCTGGTACTTCGTCTCCGCCCTCCCGTTTGGCTGCGGCTGACCCATCGGGTGCTGCTGGCACTGGTGATGCTGTAGCGACAGCTGTAGCAGCAGAAGCAGCAGCAGAAGCAGCAGCAGCAGCAGCAGCAGCAGCAGTAGCAGCAGCAGCGGCGGGGGGGGCGGCAGTGGTGCCAGTGCGTGGGGAGGCAGCATGCAGGAGCTCTCTGATAACCATCTCGCGGCTACAGGTGGTGAACGGGCGCAGTAAGAGCAAGGGCGGCTGCATGCTCTTTCAAGGGGTCACCGTGGCACTGAGGTGAGATGAGAGGGGTGCTGTGGTTTATGTGAGCTTACAGTGGTGTGGAGTGCAAAGCAAGAGCAGCAGCAGCGTGCAGCAGCTCTCTGATAACCATCTCGCAGTTGCAGGTGGTGAGCGGGCGCAGCAAGAGCAAGGGGGGCTGCATGCTCTTTCAAGGGGTCACTGTAGGGTTGAGGTGAGATGCGAGGGCAGCTGTGCGTTCTGAGGTGAGATGCGAGGGCAGCTGTGCGTGCTGAGGTGAGATGCGAGGGCAGCTGTGCGTGCTGAGGTGAGATGCGAGGGCAGCTGTGTGTGCTGAGGTGAGATGCGAGGGCAGCTGTGCGTGCTGAGGTGAGATGCGAGGGCAGCTGTGCGTGCTGAGGTGAGATGCGAGGGCAGCTGTGCGTGCTGAGGTGAGATGCGAGGGCAGCTGTGCGTTCTGAGGTGAGATGCGAGGGCAGGGCAGCTGTGCGTTCTGAGGTGAGATGCGCGGGCAGCTGTGCGTTCTGAGGTGAGATGCGAGGGCAGCTGTGCGTTCTGAGGTGAGATGCGAGGGCAGCTGTGCGTTCTGAGGTGAGATGCGAGGGCAGCTGTGCGTTCTGAGGTGAGATGCGAGGGCAGCTGTGCGTTCTGAGGTGAGATGCGAGGGCAGCTGTGCGTGCTGAGGTGAGATGCGAGGGCAGCTGTGCGTGCTGAGATGAGATGCGAGGGCAGCTGTGCGTGCTGAGGTGAGATGCGAGGGCAGCTGTGCGTGCTGAGGTGAGATGCGAGGGCAGCTGTGCGTGCTGAGGTGAGATGCGAGGGCAGCTGTGCGTGCTGAGGTGAGATGCGAGGGCAGCTGTGCGTGCTGAGGTGAGATGCGAGGGCAGCTGTGCGTGCTGAGGTGAGATGCGAGGGTAGCTGTGCGTGCTGAGGTGAGATGCGAGGGCAGATGTGCGTGCTGAGGTGAGATGCGAGGGCAGCTGTGCGTGCTGAGGTGAGATGCGAGGGCAGCTGTGCGTGCTGAGGTGAGATGCGAGGGCAGCTGTGCGTGCTGTGTGAGCGGGCTGTAGCATGGAGTGCAATGCACGAGCAGCAGCGCAGCAGCGGCTTTCTCATAACCATCTCGCAGTTGCAGGTGGTGATTGGGCGGAGCAATGGCAAGGGCGGCTGCATGCTCTTCCAAGGGGTCACAGTGGCACTGAGGCAATATGCGATGCGAGGGCAGGCAGGGGTGCGGCATGATTGATGAGGCACTGAGGTGAGGTAAAGGGCAGCATGTATTGTAGAGCCGGCTGTGGTGAGGTGACTTTTGAGTCGACTCAAAACGAGGTGACTTTTGAGTCGACTCAAAACGAGGTGACTTTTGAGTCGACTCAAAACGAAGTGACTTTTGCGTCGACTCAAAACGAGGTGACTTTTGAGTCGACTCAAAACGAGGTGACTTTTGCTAGAGTCGACTCAAAAGTCACCTCCTTAGAGCCGGCTGTGGTGTGGAAGTGGAATGCAGTGCACGAGGAGGCGCTGCTGCAGCGGAGCAACAGCAAGGCCGGCTGCATGCTCTTCCAAGGAATCACCGTGGCGTTGAGATGAGGCGCTCCTGCCCTGCCACTCGCTGAGGTGATGTAAGAATGGTGCCGTCACCTGGTGAGGAGGTGAGATAGGATAGGGGGCAGGGCAGCTGTGTGTGTGATGTGCTGAGCAATGGCAGGACGGCTATGCTCTTTTACAGGGTCATAGGGGCACTGAGGTGAGACGAGCAAGCGGGCAGCTGTGGGGAGAGCACTGCACCCCGCGTATCCCCTTATCCCAGCCCTTCCACCCTTTGCCCTCCCCTCCCCTTTTTCCTCCCCTTCTTTTCCCCCGTCCTCCACTCCCCCCCACTTCCCTCCCCCCATACCCCACCAGAGACATCACCCTCTTTAACTGCCATGCCTCCCATTCCCCTCTCTCCCCCCCTCCTTTTACCCAACCCTTCCACCTCCGTTTCCAACTCCCCCCCTGCCTCCACTTACCCCACCAGCGACATCACCCTCTCCAACTGCCATGCCTCTGAGTCAGGAGGCGGCATCCACATCAGCAGCGCACCACAGCCAGTCACACTGCGCCACGTCACCATCCAAAACTGCTCAGTCTCCTTGCACGCACCTCCATTGAACAAGACCGCCTCTTCGTTTCGTTCATCCACCAATTTTCTAGCATCGTCTGAACCATCTTCTGACTGGTTTTCTGCATCTCCATTAGAAGCAACCCCAGCCACTGCAGCTGCAAAGGGATCAGCAGAAGCAACCCCAGCCACTGCAGCAGCAAAGGGATCAGCAGAGGGAAATGCAGCCAGGTCAGCAGCCGCAGCAGCAGCAGCAAGATCAGCAGCAGCAATGGCTGTGGTCGCAGCAAGAGTCGCAGTGGTGAAATCAGCAGCGAAAGCTGCAGCCGCCACTGCAACCGCAGCAGCAGCAGCAAGAGCAATGGCAACATCAGCAGCAGAGGCAGCAGCACCAGGCGCTGATGTAGCAGCTAATGCCCCTATCCGACGCACCGGGGGGGGATTGGCTCTCTACCACACTACAGCTACTGCCACCGGCCTAGACATCTCCGGCTGTAGCGCACTCGGAGAAATCACAGCGAGAGGCGGGGGCCTCTTTGTGCTTGAATCGAGTTTGCTTCTAAGCGAGGCGAGAATAGAGGATTGTTACACTCGGGCGGATGCTAGTCCTGCTGCAAATGGGGGTAGTGGTGGTGGTGGGACGACGGATGGATGGGTGCCGGGGATGGAAGAGGGGGGGGAGGTGGTGGGGAGGGGAGGGTGCATGGCGAGTGAGGCATCGAATGTTTCGATCCGCTTCTCCTCGTTCCGAGGCTGCTTGGTACGCGAAAAAAAGGGGGTATCAGCTTCGCTTGGGTTAATGCTTTCAGCTTGTTCGCTGGGCAAGTCATCATAAGTCTATCTTGGGGTCGCAGGCTGGAGCATGTCAACATATCGGTAGACATGTTCCAGCGAGCAGCAGTTTGGGAGCAGTTTGGGAGCAGTTTGGGAGCAGTTTGGGAGCAGTTTGGGAGCAGTTTAGGAGCAGTTTAGGAGCAGCTTGGGAGCAGTTTAGGAGCAGTTTGGGAGCAGTTTAGGAGCAGTTTAGGAGCAGTTTAGGAGCAGTTTGGGAGCAGTTTAGGAGCAGTTTGGGAGCAGTTTAGGAGCTGTTTGGGAGCAGTTTAGGAGCAGTTTAGGAGTAGTTTAGGAGCAGTTTGGGAGCAGTTTAGGAGCAGTTTAGGCTGCTCGCTGGATCATTAACTTTCTCCCCATCCACCCCCTGCTCCTCTCCCCGCCCCACAACAGTCGTCGAACGGGCAATATCCGACTACATGTCCACATTCAACGTATCTTACACGTCTTTTCTCCACTCCTCTCCCCCCCACCACCAGTCGTCAAGTGGCGGGGCGATATCCGACTACATGTCCACCTTCAACGTATCTCACACGGCCTTCCTCCACTCCTCAGTGGCCTATCAACCCGCCGATTTCATGTCGGGCGCGGGGGGGTGCGTGCACATCAACACCACTGCTGCCGCCTCCTTTGCTCACTGCCGGCGTCGATTCGCCCACTGCCCTTCCCCTCTCATTAGTGGCTGGTTATATTCTCCCTCTCCCCTCCCCTTCCTCCCCTCCCCACCACCAGTCGTCAAGTGGCGGGGCAATATCCGACTACATGTCCACGTTCAACGTATCTCACACGGCCTTCCTCCACTCCTCCGTGGTCTACCAGCCCATTGATTTCATGTCGGGCGCGGGGGGGTGCGTGCACCTCAACACCACTGCTGTCGCCTCCTTTGCTCACTGCCGCTTCGCCCACTGCTCCTCCCCTCTCACCGGTGGCGGGGTGTCATTCTTTCAAGGGGAAGTGAAGCCGCAGTTTCACAACACCACGTTTGAGTTCAACGAGGCTCTCATCCAGGTCGGTTGAATGGGTTGTGAGGTGTTTAGTTGGGTGGGCTCTCAATGATGCCTCCTATCACCGGGAGTGGGTGTCGCCGTGCCGTGTCGGTGTTTCAAGCGGAAGTGCAGCCACAGTTTCATAACACCATGCTTGATTTCAACGAGGCTCTCATTCAGATCGGTTGAGTTGGGTTGGGTTGGGTTGGCTTGGCTTGGGTTGGGTAGGTATGAGGTGTTTAGCTGGGTGGGCTGGTTGAATGATGCCTTCTTTGCTCACTGCCGCTTTGCCCACTGCTCCTCCCCTCTCACCGGGGGTGGCGTGTCGGTGTTTCAAGCGGAAGTGAAGCCGCAGTTTCACAACACCACGTTTGAATTCAACAAGGCTCTCATTCAGGTCGGTTGAATGGGTTGTGAGGTGTTTAATACGGTGGGCTGGCTGGATGAGGCCTCCTTTGTTCCCTCCCCCCCCCACATGCCAACAGGGAGGGGCCATAGAGCTAGTGATGATGAGCAGCCCGGCGAACTTCACAGACTGCTCGTTCCGCAGCAACCGAGTCACCAACGGGCCCAGCTTCTTTCCCCTCTAATTTACTCCTCTGTGCTCCTCTGTGCTCCTCTGTGTTGCTCTGTACTGCTCTGTACTCCTCTATCTCTTATCCGCTCCGCTCCTATGCCGTTCCATCCTTGTGCCAACAGGGAGGGGCCATAGAGCTGGTGATGATGAGCGGCCCGGCGAACTTCACAGACTGCTCGTTCCGCAGCAACCGAGTCACCAACGGACCCAGCTTTGGCGCCGCCATTCTCTCCTTCCGTGTGGTTCTCTCTACAATCAGCCCTCCCAATGCACAACGCCTTCTTTCCCTTCTGATCTTCTCCTCCTCTCTGCCCCTCTCGTCTCCTCTCTTCTCGTCTCTGCTCCTCCATTCTCCTGTGCTTCCTTCCCCCGTGCCAACAGGGAGGGGGCATAGAGCTAGTGATGATGAACGGCCCGGCGAACGTCACAGACTGCACGTTCCGCAGCAACCGGGTCACCAACGGACCCAGCTTCGGCGCCGCAATCCTCTCGTTCGGCGTGCCGATGCGCGTGGAGAGGAGCTACTTCTGGCGCAACGTGGCTATCAACACGCTGCCTCCGGGGTCGCAGGCAGCCACGTACCTCACTCAGGGCGGGGCTATTGCTGCCAATATGTTCATGGACGCTACTGTGCCTTATGACATCATCGACTGCACCTTCGTTGAGAACCAGGTGGGTGAAGAGAGAGACTAGCGCGTGTGAGTGTGTGGGGTGTGTGTGGGTGTGTGTGAGGCAGCCACGTACCTCACTCAGGGGGGCGCCATCGCTGCGAATATGTTCATGGACGCTACTGTGCCTTATGACATCATTGACTGCACCTTCGTTGAGAACCAGGTGGGTGGGTGGGTGGGCAAGTGGGTGGGTGGGTGGGAGAGAGGGAGTATAGCGTGTGGGCGTATGGGTGTGAGGCAGGCACGTACCTCAGTCACTCAGGGCGGGGCCATCGCTGCCAATATGTTCGTGGACGCTACAGTGCCTTATGACATCATCGACTGCACCACTCCACTTAGGATGGTCAAGGCGGCGCCCTGTTTGTAGATACGAGGCATCTGCGACTGCCCAACTGCCTATGTATTCCCATCCCCGCCCGTTGCTCCGCTTCGCCTTGCTTAGTTCACATTGCTCCCACTCCTTCCCTCCATCCCCCAGACGATCCCACTAAGGCCGGGCAAGGCGGGGCTCTGTAAGTGCTGAACTGCGTCTTCCTCCTCTTGGCCTTGCCTAAGTATTTCCCATTGCCCCCTCCTTCCCCCCACCCCACTCACTCCACTCCACGCAGGGCGGGCAAGGCGGGGCTCTGTATGTGGACACGGGGCATCTGCAAGTGCTCAATTGTCTCTTCCTTCGCAACGGAGACCACTCCGAATGCTCCCTGGGTGGTGCTAGTGAGTCCCACTCCCCTGCCAGTGTGGTGCTAGTGAGTCCCACTCCCCTGCCAGTGTGTTGCTAGTGAGGAACCCTGGGTGGTGGCGCTGGTAAGGTACAGTCCTTCTGCTATCCTTGTAGTGAGTGAGGCGCTGGTGAATCACCACCCAACTCCTCTCTCCCTCACCGCTGCTACTAGTAAGTCACGTCCGTGCTAGTGTTGGTAGCGAGTGAGTGCTCAACTGTCTCTTCCTTCGCAACAGAGACCACTCCGATCCGATTGCTCCCTGGGTGGTGCCATTTGAGTTGCAATCCTTCTGCTGTGTTGCGAGTTATGTGAGAAAAGTTGAAGCGTGAAGAATAATCATCTCATTAGACTGAAAATAGAGGTATACGTAGGTGAGAGCACCTACAAACCCCTCCTCTCCCACCCCCCAGCGCGCATGCCGATAGACAAACTGCACTGCACTGCACTGCACTGCACGTTTGTAGACAACTTGGAATGTGTCAAGGGTGGTGGTGCACAGCACTTGGCTAAAATTCTTACGGCTTGCTGCGCTTCGAGCCCTATTCTACTGGACAGCACGGAATGCAACGAAGGTGGCGCACTGCACCTCATGTGCTGGTCTAGTCTACCTCACTCAAACACCCCCTCAGTTTTCCCCTTCTTCCCTTTCCCCTCCCCTTTTTCCCCATCCCCTTCCGTTCTTGCCTGTGCACTCGGTGAAATCTTAAGCACGCACACTCCCCAACAACTGCACGTTGAGTCCCTACGCTGCACACCCCTCCCTTGTCCACGCCCCTCCCCCTCGCGCCCCTACACGCAGTGACATCGCGAGCACGAACGGTCGTAGACAACTGCACGTTTGTGGACAATAAAGCACAAGACCAGGGCGGAGCGCTGCACTTCCTGCCATACGATAGCCTCAATGTCTCCCGGTCGCGCTTCCAAGGGAACTCCGTGCTGAAGCAGAACGGCGGGGCTATTCACGTGCTCGGGGTGAGTTGAGAGTTGGTGGTACGGAGTAAGAGGTAGAGGGGCAGGCAGGAGGAGGAGGGGCAGGCAGGAGGAGGCGAGATGTGGGTTGTCAGAGCTATCGTCACGTCCTTCCTGCCATGACACCCTCTCCGTCTCCCGCTCGCGCTTCCAAGGAAACTCTTTGTACAGCGTGTCTTGATATGTCCCAAATCTAAATCTTCATCCCTTCACTTCACTCTCATGCACTGGCACACACTTGCACATGCTTTCACCAACTGGCCCTCACCCTCTTGTGCAGGGCATGGGGGCGGTGAGGGTGGGAAGCAGCACATCCGTGAGAAACAGGGCAGAGCGGACCAAGTGAAGCGCCCTGTACAGCAGGTCTCAAAATGTCTCAATGTTCATTTCTGCACTTCCACGCATTTGCACTCGCTTTCGCCCACTCCCTCCCCTCACCCCTGCAGGGCACGGGGGCAGTGCGGGTAGAGAGCAGCACATTCGTGGGCAACAGGGCAGAGAGGACCAAGTGAGGCGTCTTGTACAGCGAGTCATGTCCAGGGGATGCTTCAATGCTAATCTCTTCACTCCCACTTACTCCTTCACCACTGCAGGGCACAGGAGCAGTGCGGGTGGAAAGCAGCACGTTCGTGGGCAACAGGGCAGAGCAGTCCAAGGGAGGCGCCCTGTACAGCGAGTCGGTGTCTGTCACCTTCGATAATGTCACTCTGGACGGAAACAAGGCCGCACTGCAGGGAGGTGCAGTGGCTGGTGAGTGAACACATGGCAACAGATGGCCAGCAGTCTAGAAACAGATGGAGGCGCCCTGTACAGCGAGTCGGTGTCAGTCACCTTCGATAGTGTCACTTTGGACGGGAACAAGGCAGCGCTTCAGGGTGGCGCGGTGGCGGGTGAGTGAACGGGCGGTTATAGTCTGATTATCTGATAGCACATGAGTGAACTCAGTGACTGGTGAGTAAAGCACACGGCACCAAGGGGGGAGGCGCTCTGTACAGCGAGTCGGTGTCTGTCACGCGTTCGATAATGTTACTCTGGACGGCAACACGGCGGGGCTGCAGGGGGGCGTGGTGGCTGGTGAGTGAACACACACTGTGAGTGAACGCAGTGACGGTCTGCTCACAGAAGCTCTTTCCGGTCATGCCGGTTCGTTCGCAACGAGGCAGTGCTTGCTTGGGCGAGGTGCCATCTACACATGGTCCCACCACCACCCTCCACACCCCCTTTTTTCCACTCCCCCTCCCCCCTACCCCCTCTCCAGTCTATGCATCCAGCAGCGACGGCCTGCCCACCGAAGCTCTCTTCAAGTCATACCGCTTTGTGCGCAACGAGGCGGTACTTGGGGGAGGTGTTATCTACTCGTGGTGGCACCAACCTTCACTCCCTTGTTCAACCACCCCCTCCCCTTCCCTCTTTGGTAACCCTGCCCTGCCCCTCTCTGCATTTAACTGCCCCCTTTCCCCCTCCCAACCTTCTTCCCTCCCTTCTCCTTCACCACCCCTCTCCAGTCTATGCATCCAGCAGCGACGGCCTGCCAACCGAAGCTCTCTTCAAGTCCTGCCGGTTCGTGCGCAACGAGGCGGTACTTGGGGGAGGCGCTATCTACACGGGGCTGGGCATGCGCACGCGCGTGCACGCGTGTGAGGTGGAGGAAAACAACAGCACCGGGCTGGGTGGTGCTGTGCTCGTGCAGGAATTCTCAAGAGTTGAGATGACTCGAACCCGGTGTCAGGGGAACATGTGAGTGAGTGAGAGGAGACGACACCGGGCCACACGGGAACATGTGGGTGAGATGACACAATAGCATGTGAGTGTGAGATGTCCTTTTCTGGTGGTCCCCAATAAGAATGAGCCATCCGTCCATCCAGCTATCTACACGGGGCTGGGCATGCGCACGCGCGTGCACGCGTGTGAGGTGGAGGAAAGCAACAGTACGGGGCTGGGCGGGGCTGTGCTCGTGCAGGAGTTCTCACGAGTAGAGATGACTCGCACGCGGTGTCAGGGGAACATGTGAGTGGGATGACACAGGGACATGTGAGAGACAAGATGGCATGGGATGGGAGTGTGCGATGACATGGCAATGAGTTTGAGATGACATGGCAATGAGTGTGAGATGACATGGAAATGAGTGTGAGATGACATGGCAATGAGTGTGAGATGACATGGCAGTGAGTGTGAGATGGGATAATGGGACGGTGGCACGTGATAAGGCACGCAACAGAGCATGGTTCTCCAATGGCCATGAGCATGGTTCTCCAATGGGCATGAGCATGGTTCTCCAATGGGCATGAGCATGGTTCTCCAATGGGCATGAGCATGGCTCTCCAATGGGCATGAGCATGGTTCTCCAATGGCCATGAGCATGGTTCTCCAATGGGCATGAGCATGGTTCTCCAATGGGCATGAGCATGGTTCTCCAATGGGCATGAGCATGGTTCTCCAATGGGCATGAGCATGGCTCTCCAATGGGCATGAGCATGGTTCTCCAATGGGCATGAGCATGGTTCTCCAATGGGCATGAGCATGGCTCTCCAATGGGCATGAGCATGGCTCTCCAATGGGCATGAGCATGGTTCTCCAATGGGCATGAGCATGGTTCTCCAATGGGCATGAGCATGGTTCTCCAATGGGCATGAGCATGGTTCTCCAATGGGCATGAGCATGGTTCTCCAATGGGCATGAGCATGGTTCTCCAATGGGCATGAGCATGGAGAGTCTCCATTCTGAAAGCTCCTCTCTTTTTCCTCCTCTCTCATCCTCACATGCCTCCCACAACAGAGCCCTCACAGGCAGGTGGTGGGGAAGCAGAGCTGGGTGTGCTGGAGCCTAAGTGACAACCGTTCCCTCTTTCCTATCCCCCGACCCTCTCAACAACAGAGCCCTCACAGGCGGGGCCTGCCTGTCTCTGCTCGCCAACGCGCATGCCACAGTCACCGACTCAATCCTTTCAGCCAACCACGGCACCAGCGAGGGGGGGGCAGCGCGTGTCAGCGGCAGCGCGCACCTCTCCCTCCTCTACTCCTCCATCCTCCAAAACACCGCAGCCTGGGGCGGAGCCGTCTGGGTGGAAATGGGCGCCTCTCTGCTCATCTCAAACGACTCAAAGCTGGAAGGGAACGAGGCGAGGTACCTCGGCGGGACGGTGTATGCGACGCACGTGTCTCGGGTGGAAGTGGGAGGTGGGAGCGTGTTTCGGGGAAACTCGGCCCTGCATGGAGGGGCTATGGTTGCAGAGGCAGAGGCGAGAGTCACAGCAGCCGATTCTACGTTTGAAAACAACACCTTTTCAGGGATTTTATTCCAAGGGTTTTCCCAGGGGGTTCTGCGGAACTGTAGCTTCACGCGGAATTCCAATGCGGCTGGGCGGGGTGGCGCGGTGCTGGTTGGAGACAAGACGACCGTCGCCGTCCACTCGTGCAGCTTTTCCGGGAACTGGGCGGCGCTGGGCGGCGCGGTGAGCACCGAAGGCAGCCCGTACCTCACAATCAACGGCTCAGATTTCACGAGGAACATCGCGCAGATCGGCGCAGGGGTTGCCCTAGCAGGCGCCACCGCTTTCACCATGGGAGAGTCTGTGTTTATTAAGAATAATGCGACAAAGGCGGGAGGGGGAGTGGCTGTACTGGAGCAGGCGGAGGGGGATATATCAGGGTCGAGGTTTGAGGGGAACTATGCGGTGGTGGGCGGTGCAGGGGTGTACCTGATGCGATCTGCTGCTGCTACTGCTGCAGCAGCAGGTGGTAATAGGCCTCCTAGGGTTGGTGCTTCTGCATCTGCTCCTGGTCGAGCTAAGAGTGCCAGAGGGCGGATCGCGCTGGCCAGTAGTAGCAGAGACAGCAGCACTGGCGGCAGCAGCAGTAGCAGCAGCAGAGGCAGTGGTGTAGGGGCAGCAACATCTGCTGCTGCTTTTACCCCAAATGGCACCTCCACCAGTAGCACCTCCTCCTCTTCCTCGTTCTCCACCAATCAGGTGCGACTGCAAGGCCTGCTGTTTGACGGCAACAGTGCCATGGACGCCCATGGAGTGGCCTTCTTCGATGCTTCCTACAGCCCCCACCTGCGCTCCGCCTGCCAGGCCTGCCAGATGGTGCAGCAGGGGGACACGGAAGGCAGCATGCCGGCGGACTTTTATCTCAAGTGAGTGCGCTTGTAAAGAGTACATTTTGAGGCACCTCATAGAATCTTTCCCTACAGTCCGCTGCTGCAGGCTGCCTGCCATGCCAGGCCTGTCAGATGCTGCATCTGGGCTGGAGGACTCAGGGCAGCATGCCAGCTGACTTCTACCTTATTTCAGTGCGCTTCTAAAGAAAACAGTGAAGAGAACACACTTTTAGAGGCACCTTCAAAACAGCTTCCTAAAGCCCCCCCCATCTGCACTCCGCCTGCCAGGCCAGCCTGTAACCCTCCTACCTCCTCCCCCCTCCCATTTCACCTTTTGATACGTGCAATGCTCCTCGCCGTGCAATGCTCCTCGCCGTGCAATGCTCCTCGCCGTGCCGCCCTCTCAACCCTCCTCCAGATGGCCTGGGGCGGCAATGTCGTCGCAGGAGACAGGTGGCAGCTTCTCAGTGGTGGGCTCGGTGGGCTCCATGCTGACGGGGCTGCAGGTGGTGGTGGTGGACGAGTTTGGGAACATCGTGTCCAAGGTAAGGAAGGAAAGGCCTAAACTTAGATATGATTTATTGGTGTGAGTAGCATACAGGGATGTTGCCATATATATACAGTATGTGTAATGAATATGTAATATACGATACAATACATATTATGTACTACATACTATTTATTATGTTTCATATAGTATATGATGTATATATATATATATATATATATATGCATAGAGATGTCAAAGCAGGTGGTGTTGTTGCAGGCGGTGGGTGGTGGACGGGTTCCGAAGCATCCCTGCCAAGGTAAGGTAAGTAATGGGCACAATTTCACTCAAATCATTAAATGTACGGGATGGCCGCATCAGCGGGGTGCTAGGGGGCATTCTCAACACTCACCGCAACCAACCCCTCTCCTGAGTCCGCTCCTTCTACTCCCTTCGCTCCCCCTCCTCCACCCACCACCACCACGGCGACTCCGCTTTTGCCTGTGTTTTTACTGACAGCCACATCAGCGGGTCCCTACGGGACACATCCCATTGGGATGATCCTAGAGGCATCATCACTTGATCATCGTACGTACCCTCTCCCTCTCCCCTCCTCCTGCCCCCACCATCCCACCCACACCACGCCACCAGGACAACTCCGCCCTGGCCCGCGTCTCCCCGGACAGTTTCATCAACGGGTCGCTACGCGGCAGCACATCCCAGGGCGGCGTTATCACAGTGGTTCATCGTACCCTCTCCAAACCCCCCCCTCCCTCCCTCGCTCTCCTACTGCCCCCACCCCACCAGGACAACTCCGCTTTGGCCCGAGTATCCCCTGACAGTCGTATCAGCGGGTCGCTACGAGGCACGTCCCAGGGCGGCATCATCACAGTGCCGCCCATTGCCGTCCGCGTGCCCCCGGGCGGCGCGCTACAGCCGATAGCGCTCACCGTCACCGTCTCCTCCACCACCAACGCCTTCCCGGACTTCTCCCACCCCTTCAACATTTCCTTCTGCCCGGCCGGGCAGTATTTTGACGGCGAAAGTTTCAGCTGCCAGGACTGCCCCGTGGGCCACTGGTGGGTTTTGCCTTCTGCCTTTTCCCTGCAACACTAGAGTCGGTGTAGAGTGCGTGTGTGTGGGGGGTGGGGAGGGGAGGGGGGGGGGGCGGTGGGGGAGAAAAGGGGGAGGGGTGGTGTGTGCGTGTGTGTCTGCTGCTCTTGGGATGTGTGTTGGGGCGCCAAAAGAAGAGTTTGTGTGGTTCATGTGTTTGAGTGTTCTCCTCCAGCTCTTGATTTTCCATCAACTCAAGTCCCCCTTTGCCTCCTCGATTCCCCTCTTCTCCCTCTCACCTCAGGTGCGCACCAGGGCAGGGCATGGAGACGTGTCCAGACGGCACCTTCACCTTCTTCCCAAATGCCGCTTCAATGCAATGAGTTCCCTCTTTCCGTGGCCCATACTCCCCGCCTTCCCATTTCAACCCCTGCCTCACCACCACAGCTGTGCTGTGCTGTGCGCCAGGCCAGGGCATGGAGACGTGTCCAGACGGCACCTTCACTTTCTTCCCCAACGCTGCTTCTCAAAAGCACCACCACCTGATCGGTTCCCCCCCGCTCACTCTAAGTCCCTCTTCCCGTCCCCCTTCCTGCCCCCCTCGCATTACCCCATCCCTTTCCCCTCCCTCTCCCCTCAGGTGTGCGCCAGGCCAGGGCATGGAGACGTGTCCAGACCGTGCCTTCACCTTCTTCCCCAATGCCCCTTCAATGCAATCAGGTCTCTATTTTTGTGGCTCGCCCCCCTTCCCTTACTCCCCCCCTTCCCTCACCTCCCCTCAGGTGTGCACCAGGCCAGGGCATGGAAACGTGTCCAGACGGCACCTTCACTTTCTTCCCCAACGCAGTGTCACAGGAGCAGTGCACGGCGTGTGACGACGACAGCTTGGACTGCCGCTATGGCACGCTGGAGGTGGGTGTGAGTGAGTAGGGTACTTTTTGAATTGAAATGTGGGAGGGTGGTTAGTAAAGGGATGCTACATCAGGAAGCTGAATGACACTCTTACCAAAAGCGGTGTCCCAGGATCCGGCCGTGTGACGATGACGATAGCCTGGGGTGCTGCTACATTTTTGAGACGTCTCAAAAGCCAAACGCAGTGTCACAGGATCAGGCCGTGTGGTGATGACAATAGCCTGGGGTGCTGCTACAGCACACTGGAGGTCGGTGGGTGTGAGTAGGGTACTGGTACTGTTTGAAATGTGGGAGGGTGGTTAGTAAAGGGATGCTACATCAGGAAGCTGAATGACACTCTTCCCAAACATCGTGACCCAGGAGGAGCAGTGCACGCCGTGTGAGATATGCCGCTACGGCATGCTGCAGGTGGGTGGTTGTGTGTGTGTGTGTGTGTGTGTGTGTGTGTGTGTGTGTGAGTGGGGTAGTGTGTGAGTGGGGTAGTGTGTGAGTGGGGTAGTGTGTGAGATATGTGAGGAGGATTAGGGAAGAAACGCTACAGAAGGGCACCATAGGGCACTCCTCCCTACCTGGACTGCCGCTAAGGGATGCTACACTACATCAGAGCAGCATAGGGCACTCCTCCCTACCAACGCGGTGTTGCAGCAGCAGTGCACGGCGTGTGACGATGGCAGCTTGGACCTGGACTGCCGCTCCGGCACGCTGCAGGTGTGTGCGAGTGAGTCAGTGGCGTATTGTGTGGTTGAGAGGCCTTCTATGACAAGAAGCAGGAGCAGTGCAGTGCACGGCATGTGACGATGACAGCCGTAACTGCCGCTACGGCACCCGCTGCAGGTGAAGGCTATTTCTGAGTCGACTCAAAAATAGACTCACTACGCGTGTGACGGTGACAGCCTTAACTGCCGCTATGGCACGCTGCAGGTGAAGACGGCCGGGGAAGAGATGTACCCTCCAACCCAACTGCCTGGCCTATTGAAATCACTTTTGGCGTCACCGTCAAAAGTGATTTCAATATTTCAGGTGAAGACGGCTGTGGACGAGATGTACCCTCTAACTGCCTGCCCTCGTTAACCTCCTACCTCCCACGCCCTTCCATCATCCCCCCCGCTCCCCTCCCTTCAGATCTCATACCAGAACTGGCTGGACCCAGCGTCTCTCAACCGCACGCCCGCCACCTATGCATGTCTCCTCACTGTCCGAGGGATGCTCTGGCACTACCTATACAAGTCGCTGGTGTAACCTCCAACTGTCTGCTCTCATTAACCTCCTACCTTTCACGCCCTTCCATCATCCCCCCCGCTCCCCTCCCTTCAGATCTCATACCAGAACTGGCTAGACCCAGCGTCTCTCAACTCCACGCCCACCACCTATGCGTGCCTGCTCACTGAGGGATGCTCTGGCACCACCTACACGGGCCCCAACACTACGCAGTGTGCCGTGGGATACAACAACACCGTGCCGTGAGTGTGTTCAGTGGGGTATTGGGGTTTTGGGGTAGTGGTTGCAATCAAGGCCCTGGCACCACCTATACAGGCCCCAACACCACGCAGTGTGCCGTGGGATATAACAACACCGTGCCGTGAGTGTGTGGGCAGATGGGCATTGGGCAGTTAGCAATTGACATGAAGGGTAGGCTGCTCTGGCACCACCTACGGCCCCAACACCACGCAGTGTGCCGTGGGATGCAGCAACACTATGCCGTGAGTGTGTGGGTACTTGAGGTGGTACGAAGGCATGAATTTACTGAAGGCACCACCTACACAGGCCCCAACACCACGGATTGTGCGGTGGGATGCAGCAACACTGTGCCGTGAGTGCATGGGGTAGGGGAGGGGTTTGCTTGACCATAGCTTTTGGAGGAGTGACAAGGTGATGATTGCAGTCAAGGTAAGCTGGCCCCGACACCACGCAGTGTATGATGTATGATGCATGATGCAACAACTTTGTGTCACTGAGTGCATGCTGAGTGTGTGCCACTGAGTGCATGCTGAGTGTGTGCCACTGAGTGCATGCTGAGTGTGTGCCACTGAGTGCATGCTGAGTGTGTGCCACTGAGTGCATGCTGAGTGTGTGCCACTGAGTGCACGCTGAGTGTGTATCATTGTTAAGTAGTGCTGCTGCAGCCGCACCTACCAGGCCCCTACCCTACCCACATGCCAGCACCTACGCAGGCCCCAACTCCACGCAGTGTGCTGTGAATTGCAAACAACAGCACACTGTGAGTGCATAGTGCTAAGGGGGTGGGTGTGCGAGATTGTGAAGTATTGCTGCAAATTCTAAAGAGATATTGATATCCTTGACCCACAATTCCACTCCCCTCCCAGCATACCCCTCATAGCAAAACCTGCTGCAAGTGCACACCCACTTGATCTCGCTCATCCCCCTCTGCTCCTTCCCCCGCTGCTCCTCACCCGCTGCTCCTCACCCGCTGCTCCTCACCCACTGCACCTCACCTAGGGGTGAGCAAGGGGCGAACACGAACATGTTCGTGTTCGCCCCTACACGAACACAGCCGCTTGCCGAACCGAACACTGTTTGGTTCGGCGAACACCTTTAGCAAAAACAGGTGTTCGTCGTTCGCCTGTGAAGGCATGTTCGGGCGAACCTCGAACACGTTCGTGTTCGTCGCAGGGCAAATTGCAGCAGAGGCCCGAACACGAACGTGTTCGGGCGAACCTCGAACACTGTTTGGCGAACACTTTAAGCCATTCGAGGCGAACCGAACAGGTGTTCGTTTTTTTGCTAACCCTAAACCTCACCTGCTGCTCCTCAACCGCTGCTCCTCACCCGCTGCTCCTCACCTGCTGCTCCTCACCTGCTGCTCCTCGCCCGCTGTTCCTCACACGTGGACAACGCATACCTGCTGCTGCAGTTGTGCATTTCGACTAGCACAGCACGTGCTTGCTGCCTCACGTGCTTGCTGCCTCACGTGCTTGCTGCCTCCTGCCCCCCGCTTCTCCCCACTTCTCTCTGCGCTACCTCTTTTTCTTATGTGCGTGTGCTGTGCTGTGCTGTGCTGTGCTGTGCTGTGCTGTGCTGTGCTGTGCTGTGTGGTGCCTTGCTGCGCTCTGTGCTGCGTGCATGCAGCACGGCTACTACCTCGTGCTGCAGTTGCAGTAGGAAAGGCACCTACTGAGTCAACCCTGGCCTCCCTCTCTTGTTTGCCGTGCTGTCTGCTGTGCTGCGTGCATGCAGCATGTGCTCCTCATGTGCGGATGGCTACTATCTCGTGCTGCAGTACTGCGAGCAATGCACGGCTGCACTCAAATCAGTGAGTCTCAACTCGGCAACTCAACACACCACGCAACGCAAACGTGAAATGATCACTCACGAACACGCACCAATTTTTCGGGTCTTGCAGCTTACGCCATTTGTCAACAGCAAAACGACCTCTGAAACTTCTCTCCCTGACCTGTGACGTTTGAAGAGAAAGGAAAAGTTGGTTTAGGAAGTCCAGAGGTATATATGTAGCAGTGGGAGTAGTAACGAAGTTCTTGACGTTGCAGCGTTTTTTTGTTTTTTGTTTTTTTTTGTTTTTTTTTTTTTTCCCTAAAAAAATCCCTGCAATGTCAAAGAATAGTAGGATTAGAAAGTCGAGAGGTAAATATAGAAGAGGAAAAAAGGAAGGGAGAAACGGAAGGGGTGGTGGTTGGATTCTTGAGTGAATTTTGAGAATTCTCAAAAGAAACGGAAGAGGTGGTGGTAGTTGGGTTATTGGCCTGGAATTTTGGCCCTCACCAATGAGATGGCCCTCACCAATGAGATGGCCCTCACCAATGAGATGGCCCTCACCAATGAGATGGCCCTCACCAATGAGATGGCCCTCACCAATGAGATGGCCCTCACCAATGAGATGGCCCTCACCAATGAGATGGCACTCACCAATGAGATGGCCCTCACCAATGAGATGGCCCTCACCAATGAGATGGCACTCACCAATGAGATGGCACTCACCAATGAGATGGCCCTCACCAATGAGATGGCCCTCACCAATGAGATGGCCCTCACCAATGAGATGGCCCTCACCAATGAGATGGCCCTCACCAATGAGATGGCCCTCACCAATGAGATGGGTTGAAGAATTAATGGAGGGACTCAATAATCTGGGTTAAAATTCAGCCAAGATTTTTGGGGTTTCAATAATCTCCCACCTAACCTTCTAGGCTAGATAATATGGCCATGGTTCAGTTCCCAACCCCCAGCTTGGGTAAACCCTAGTTGTGCACCCAAATAAAGTATGGGTGGCTATCTCTTCCCAAGCTAATTTAGGATACATGCAGCATACAAGAGGAGTAGTAACCTGATACGACCCACCCCCTCCCCACCAGGTTTTTCCGTGACTATTTATCATAGTGCTAGTGGTGTGGGTGGCAATGAACATGCTGGCAGACACCTTTGCAGCCATGGACATCTTTCCCACCGAGGTGCAGCTGCTCCTTCTCTCAACCCCTCTCCCCTTCTGCCCTCTCATCCCCTTGCATCCTCATCCCCTTGCAACCTCATCCCCTTGCAACCTCATCCCCTTGCACCCTCATCCCCTTGCACCCTCATCCCCCTTTGCAGCCACGGACATCTCTCTCCTTGCACCAGCTGTTTCTCAACCCTCTCCCCCTTCTCCCTCTCCCTCCCAACCCCAGGTGTTCCCCCTACTGTTCATCATAATTCTCATCGTGTGGGAGGCAATGAACATGCAGGCAGACACCTTTGCAGCCATGGACATCTTTCCCACCAAGGTGTAGCTGCTCCTCCTCTCAACCCCTCTCCCCTTCTGCCCTCCCATTTCCCCCTCTCTCCCACCTCCCTCTCCCTCTTCCCCCACTCTCCTCTCCCTCTTCCCACCCAGGTGTTCCCCCTACTGTTCATCATAATTCTCATCGTGTGGGTGACGATGAACATGCTGGCAGACACCTTTGCAGCCATGGACATTTTCCTTATTGAGGTGCAGCTGCTCGCCATGGTCGCCAACTTCAACCTCAACTTCCCCGCCTCCTGGGTCAAGACCGTCGTGCTGCTATACAACATCGCTGCGTTTGATCCCGTGAGTTTTCCTGCCGTTGTCACTGTGAGTGGCTCTCAAAGATGGGTCAAGACTGTCGTGAGAAGCGCTGACTTTTTTGGTGGACTTCAAATTCTTGAGTCAAGATTCGAGTCATGCTACTCTACAACTTTTGGCGTGCAATCTTTGATGAGGATTTTAAAAAATTCAGCATTTCGTGGACTCAAAAGTCGGTCATGAATGATGGTTGACGACGCCGCGATGGTCGTGACTTTTGAGTCGACTCAAAAGTCAACTCGGTGATGATGGTTGACAGCCATGCTGCTTTACAAGCTCAACTCAAAGAGCGGGGCAAGATCGCCGTGCTACATGTCAGTGTTTCTGCTTTCATCACAATGAGCGACCCTTGTTGTAGTCGCAATATGTTTGGATGTGCCTAATACGAAGGCTAGAGTGCACGTACAGATGCAGCAACAAATCGTGTGTTTTGAACCCGCAAGCCAAGAAGTTCAACAGTAGGAAGGTTGGTCGGGGCGTGCAATACGATTGGTCAAGATTTTGGGTGCCAGGGTCACACTCAACCGAATCTAGGAAGGTTGAACCAATTTGGGCTTTCTTGGCCTGCGGGTTTTAATTGCACACAGTGTTTCATTATGGCCTTCAATTGGCAAGTTGAATTTCACGAAGCATAATATTATAACGACGCCGCGCTGTTGGAATCAAGGGATGAAGGTACGGTACAGAGTTCTGAAAGTAATTTGAAATTGAAATGTCTTCCCGCCTCTACAAACCCCCAAATACGAGGTTCAGGATTGTGAAAAGATTGCATGTTCTTTTCAAGTACATATTATCTACCGTTTTCGCCATCTTGATGATTGCCGTCATGGTATGATCCAGGTATAGTTTATTCTTTCTTAGAATTCTAATTTAAGTCTCCATAACGATTTCTTTGTTGAATATGGCTAAGTCTCCATAACGAAGTTTAGGGCTTGCATTACTCCTCTCTTGCATGCTGAACGTTCGACAAACCAAAAAAGAAAGCGCACATAGCGCTCACACGGTGTGTCAACATGCGACTAGAAAAAGGGGTCTCGACACGCACATACAACACTATGGTTCGCCACACAATCTGCGTGAAATGAGCCGTGTTCTGAGTTGACAAAATGAGAAGGCTCTCGACAGGCACCCACAACACTATGCTTCGCCACACAAACACTGATAATAAAACTTTTTGAGCTCGCATGTGATGACATTCCATACAAATCTATGCACGTACACAAGGACAAGAATACGAGTTCAAAACATGCGGTTGCACCAACAAGCGTGACAGAAAAAAATGTCGTTCCAAACTTGTTAGTAGAAATGAAAGCCCGCAAGTGGGTGGCCATTAGGATGCTCGAAGGTATACAGTACTTCGAGCAAATTAGGGTTTTTACTTGGTTGTTGGAATCAAGTGGGGTCAAAACCCCTAACTACTAATAATCAAGTGCATTGCTGCCTTGCTCCAACATGATACGAGTCTGCACCGTACTGTGTTACATGCACGCACCTCCTCCCGTGAACTTTTACCCCCTGGCACTTCCTGCCGTGATTGGAGCATCAACAGTCACAAATCACCTGACCTCCCCACTTCTTATCTCTTCATTTCTCTCCCCCCTCCCCTTCTTTCTCCCGCATCCCTCCCCGCCTCCACTCATCTTCCCCTTAGCAGGACATCATCGGGCCAGAATGCATGTCCACTTCTCCTTGCAGTTCACGGGTCGAATTCTTTCCAGCTCTCCTCTCCGCATTACATCTCTCCTCACAACTTTTTCCTTCCTCCCCCCCCCCCCCCCCCCCTCTCCCCCCTCCCGACAGGACATCATCGGGCCAGAGTGCGTGTTCTCCCTGCAGTTCACGGGCAAATTCTACGCCACCCTTCTCATCCCCGTTATAGGCCTCCTCATTTACGCGCTCGTGTTTGCACACCACCGCTGGCTGGGCGGCTCATTCTTCGTGCGCGTGCACTCGTGGCAGCGCAAGGAGCGCCAGCGGCAGCGCCTGGCGCTGCAGCGCTCTGTAACGAAGCGGCGGGCTTATAACGAGTATGAGAACTCAATCGTGCACGCGTCGCTCAAGTGGCTCGACATTTGCTACACTTCTGTGATGGTCAAAGTGCTGGAAGTCTTCAAGGTGAGGAGGGCTTTGAGGTGATAAGGGTGACCATGTGATGGTGTTGCATCGTTTTTTGAGGTGCCTAAAAAGGCTCAAGTAGCTGGACATTTGCTACATGTCTGTGATGGTCAAAGTTCTTGAAGTCTTCAAGGGGAGGGGGGCTTTAAGGCGAGGCAAGGGTGACGGGTTCGACATGCACATGTGATGGTGTTACGTCTTCTTTTTTGACGCCTAAGGAAACTCCTGTGGTTGGACATTTGCTACACGTCTGTGATGGTCAAAGTGCTTGAAGTCTTCACGGTGAGGAGGGCTTTAAGGTAAGGCAAGGGCGAGAGGGCTTGCCTTGAGCATGTGATGGTGTTACACCTGTTTACCTGGTCACGCTGGTAACCGCCGTGCTGCTCTCAGAAATCAAAGCCTCCCTCACTCACCCATCCCCGTTGCCCTTTCTTCCCCGTTCCTCATGCAGTCCCAGCAGATAGGCACAGCAACAGTGATGGCAGCAGCACTGTTGATTCTCACCACATACTCCCTCCCCCCACCACCACCCCTCGCATCCCTCTTCCCCTTCCCCCGTGCAGTCCCAGGACATCGGCACAGCTACAGTGATGGCTGCAGCACCGCAGATTGAGTGGCTGTCATCAGCCCACGTGGGTATGCTGGTTACCGCAGTGCTGGTTACGGTGGTGTACCTGGTGGGGCTGCCTCTGCTGTTCGCTGGGGTGTTGGTGGATGCTCATACGTGCGATGTGCTCTCCTCTACGCTCTTCAAGCAGCGCTTTGGCTGGCTCACCGAGCGCTTCCGACCCAAATTCTGGTGGTGAGTGGCGCAGTGATTATGAGGAATGGTCCTTATGCGGTAGGCCACTATTGCGAGTAGTGCTGGTTGGTGTGCGAATGTGCGAGTAGTGGGTCGGGCTTATTCCCATACCCCCGGAATTGGGTGCTGCATTGGGCTTGTTCCACAAGCCCTATTCTCCATCATCGGATCTCCCATTCCCTTGCTCTCCCTCCACGGCTGCAACTCACAGGTGGCACCTGACAAACATAGGCATGAGGGTGCTGCACGGATGTATCCTCGTGTTCCTGCAACAAGAAACCGAGTCACAAGTAAGTGAATGGAAAAAGACCCTTAGCGCATGATAGCACTCCCATAGCCTCCCCCATTGCTTGGAATCATGCTGCTTTCTTCTATCCCATGCTGCATGGGTGCATCCTCGTGTTCCTGCAGCAAGAAACTTGATCACAGGTAATTGCTTCGATGCATACGCACCCGTACCTTATAATCACCCATTGTTTCAGGTTCCTTTCCCAAGGCAGATTGATAATGCTAAGAAAAATGGGGGTCAAAATAACTCAAAATCGTTGGACTAAGTTACTGAACAGGAATGTCGACTTCACAAGAAATTTCGTCTACAAAAAGTTGACCATTAGAACTTCACCAATTTTAGATATATTGTAGCTCTAGACCGTGGCTACAATTCTCAGTTTGAATTGTCACAATAGTAGGCACAAGAGGGAGCCATAGCTAGGGTTTACCTAGCTAGGCAAGAGAGAATCGAGCAAAGGAGGGGTTTGACTAGCAACAGTTGGGATACAAATAGGAAACCCTAAGGGGCCATACTCACTACAGAGTACCCCACTGCAGGCTAGACAAGCATTATAATCTGACACACCCCCATAGTCAAAGTGGGGTATAATCAGCACAGCAAGCAGTCATAGAGCAGGTTCACAAGGGCACGCAAAGCTAGAGGCATTCACAAAGGGCAAGTAAGGAGGAGGAGGCGGGACTGTAAGAGGAGAGAAGATAGGAGGCGACGGCTGAAGCTGCAGACACACGGGCAACAGGAGCGGCTGGCACAGTGGCTACCGGGACAGCGCCCCGGACTACTGGAGTAACTGGCTCGGCGGCTACGAAGAGCGGCAGGAGCAACGGACCCACGGGCGACAGGTGCAGCAGGCTCTCTGGGCTACCAGGACAGCGCCCCGGACTACTGGTGCTGCGGACGACAAGACGGCAGCCTCCACTCAACCTCCCCCGACCGTCCCACACCCCTCTCACACACCCCCTGCTGAAACCCTAGCTCCACTCCCACGGCACCCCCCTTAAACCCTAAACCCTCGGCTCCCACACACCCACCCCCCTCAGCGGCAGCTGCAGCAGTGGGAGACGGAGGAGGAGGAGGAGCTGCAGGTTACCCACACCGTTCACCCCCAAACCCTAACGCGGGTAGGAGCGCGGGAAGCAGCAGGGGCGGTTCACGGAGGGAAAGGGAGGAGGCGGGGGGGTCTCCTGGGCGCCACGAAGGAGCAGGGCGCGGGCCCCCTGAGGGCGCCACGGCTGGTGACGGGAGGGGGGCCGCGCACGGGCCCCCGAGGGCGGCTCGACGGGCGACGGGAGGGGCCGCGCGCGGGCCCCCAAGGCACCGCGACGAGGCGACGGGAGGGGGCGGCGCGCGGGCCCCCAAGGCGCCGCGACGAGGCGACAGGAGGAGGCGACGCGCGGGCCCCCAAGGTGTCGCGACGAGGCGACGGAAGGGGGGGACGCGCGGGCCCCCAAGGCGCCGCGACGAGGCGACGGGAGGGGCCGGCGCGCGGGCCCCCGAGGCGCCACGACGGGCGACGGGAGAGGGGCCGCGCGCGGGCCCCCACGAGAGCGCCACGACGGGTGACGGGAGGGGGTGGCGCGCTGGCCTCCGAGGCGCCGCGACGAGTGACGAGAGGGGGCAGCGGGCGGGCCCCCTGAAGACGCCGCGACGGGCGACGGGGGGCAGCGCACGGGCCCCCTGAAGGCGCCTCGACGGACGGTTAAACCGCCACGCGCCCCGAGCGCGCGGCGGGCAGAAAAAGCCGCCACGCGCTATAACACGTCGCGCACCACGGGGCGCGCGACAAACAGAACGACAGCGGAAGCAGTTGGTGGGCCCACAGGCCAGGAGCGTAAATGCTCTAAAACCATGTCAGAAGAGTAAGCACAGTGAGGAGCCATAGCTAGGGTTTACCTAGCTAGGCAATAGAGAATCGAGCAAAGGAGGGGTTTGACTAGCAACAGTTGGGATACAAATAGGAAACCTTAAGGGGCCGTACTCACTACAGAGTACCCCACTGCAGGCTAGACAACAAGCATTATAATTTGACATGAATCGCAAAAAAAACTGAAGTAAATTTTGACTTATTAATATCGACGCATTGAAGGGTATGCTGGAACTGAAACTTAACTCAAACTCAATTGTTCAACCCAGTGGCACACAATGAATTAGAGTAGCAGGAACCAGGTAGGAGAGGATGAGAGGGAAGGTCCCAAGGGAGTCCCCAACCAAAGAAACCCCATAAGCACCAAAGATTCATTCCCTATAAGAACCCAACTTTCACCCTTGTTTTTTGTCCAGCATCTCAAATCCACCTCATCCAACTTGGCCACACTTGCCAACCTAGTTTGGTTTCTTCCAACCATTACAGTCGAGTGACGAAAATTCTCAGCCCCCCCAAAAGTCTATTCTACATATAGAGTCACTCCACACCAATTCCCAAAGTTGTCGCATCGAAATATCAAAAGTATACGAACTTCAACCGTTCGTAACTTTCTCATCCATTCTCCGATCGCGACGATTATTGGCTCGTCGGAAAGCTCTTGAGCAGAGAAATCATTTCCAATATCTGCTTAAAAAAAAAAAAAAAAAAATCACATACATTCACAACTTCCAAACCATGCAAAACATAATTCTTGCACAAGCTCACACCACATATGCAACGCACGAACATACGACGGGAGGCACATAGACGTAAATGCCCATGGTAGCATCACACAACACATTCTCCCTCCCCTTCTTTACCCCCTCCTCCCATCCTCCTCCATAGGTCATAATAATTTTGTTAGTTCAGGCCCTCCGCATAGACACGCATTACAAGACCGCCCCGCTCGCCTCGCTCTCCCTCGAGTATCTCCAAGCCTTCCTCACGCTCGGCCAGTTTTTCTTCACCCTCTCCCTCCTCTCATACAACTACCTCTCCCTCTCTCTCTTCCCCTCAACTCATGTCTTAAGGCCCCTCCAAACACGTTATTTCTCCTTCCTCTCCACTCCCCCTCTTTTCTTCCCCTTCTCCCCTCCTTCCTCCCCCACTCCCCCTGCCTCTCCCACAGGTGATCATAATCTTGTTAGTTCAGGCCCTCCGCATAGCCACGCACTACAAGACCGCCCCGCTCGCCTCGCTCTCCCTCGAGTACCTGCAGGCCTTCCTCACGCTCGGCCAGTTCTTCTTCACGCTCTCCCTCCTCTCCTACAACTACCTCTCCCTCTCCCTCTTCTCCCAAATCCTCTTCGGCTTTTCCGCCGCCTTCATCCTTATCCCCGCTACAACGCTCCTCGTTTACGACGCGATAAACAACCATTTGGAGCTCGCGAATGCGCGCATGCTACAGCGCGTGTGGCGCGCGGAACGCAAGCGACAAAAAGCCCGATTCGATAAAATGGACCCATATGATTTAGTCCCAGCGCAGGAGATCTGCTCCTGGTTCCGACCACACATCATCTTCGCGACCCTCCTTTCCAAACGCACCGAGGAACGCACGTTGCTGCTCCGAGTTCGGGACCGGTTCGAGACGTGCCGATTGGTCGGTTTGGCGCCCATGGATTGGCTGAATCATTTGAAGAAGCCGCAGCTTTATGCGGTGCTGGCGCAGGCGCTGCTGGGAGCGAGCACGGGGCATGTGACTGTAGCGAGGGTGCCTAAAGACGGGTGGTTCTGTAGGGAGCATGGCGAGTGGCATGCGGCTGGGGAGGATTGTGAGGGAAGGGAGGGGTTTGGAGGTGTTTCGGGTGGTGGAGGGGGTGGTTCGGGGAGTGGTGAGGGGTTGGGAGGTGTGGAGAGGGAGGGGGGAGAGGGAAGTGTTGGGAGGGGTGGGTTGGGTCCTCAGGCGGGAGAAGGGGTGGAGAACGGTGGCAGTGGGGCTGAGAGAGGTGGGGAGGAGAGGAGAAACGGTCAGCTCTCCGGGTTAAGCGGGCAACAGAGAGAAGATTCTTCAGGTGAAACTCAGGTGAATGGTCAGGTGGACACGCAGCAGCCGCTGCTGCAGCAGACAGGAAGGAACACGTGGCATGAGCTGGATGAGGCTGACGTGTGGCCACCTCAGCTGGAGAGCCACGTCAGCTGGGCATCTGCCAGCGTGGCTGCTGCTCCGTCAGCAGGAAGGGGGGGAAGAGGGAGAGGCCTGGGCGGAGCAGGACGGGAGGGAATGGGAGGAATGGGAGGGGGAGTGGGCGGGGGAGGGGTGTGGGGAGTGAGAGGAGGAGGGGGAGACGGATTAGGAGCCTTTGACACGGCGAGTGTTGGGAGTGACAGCAGCAGTGAGACTGGCAGCACGCACGGCAGCGGCGGAGGGGTGACCCTCAGAAGCATGGGTGGGGGAGGAGGGGCCATGGGAAGTGGCGTTGGGGGTGCTGATGCCTTTGCTGCTGCTGCTAGTAGGGCAGGACTGGGGCTCCGTGTTGGGCTAGTAGCAGCAGCAGGAGCAGGGGGGTTAGGCGGAGCAGGGGGGTTAGGAGGAGGTGGAGTAACAGCAGGAGGGCCGGTGATGCGAAGGACACCGTCGATTCGAGTGCAGAACCTGGTGTCGTGGGAAGAGACCCCCCATGAAGGCCTGCCGGAGCACGGGGCTGGGGGTGCTGCAGGGATGGGAGATGGAGCAGCGGCAGCGGGTGGGGCAGGGGAAGAGGCGGTGGAAGGGGCTGGGGCAGCAGCAGCTGTGGGGGGAGGGGCAGGGACGGAGGCAGGAGCAGGTGGAGGAGGAGAGAACGGAGGAGGAGGCGGAGGGGGAGGGGGTGGGGTGCACCCAGAGGCTGCTGGAAGGAGGCAGCGGATGGGAGGGTGGTGGGGAAGGGGAGCGCGAGTGAGTGAGAGGGGACGAGGTATGGGTGCTGGTGCAGGTGCGGGGGAGGCAGGAACTGGAATGGGGGAAGCCGGGCAGCAGCAGCAGCAGCAGCAGCAGCAGCAGCAGCCCCCACAAGAGCAGCAATACCAGCAGCAGCCGGAGCAGAGGGAGCGAGCGGGTGGCGGTGGGGAGGAGTGTGTGGAAGCGAGGATGAACATGGGAGCGCTGAGCCTGGCGTTTCAGAAGCACCTGGCGCTGCTGGTGCGCGCTGAGAGGACCCGCAGCAGCGAGGCCCTGCGCCTGCTCGTGTGCTCCGAGGCCGTGCCCTCCATCCTTAGCTGGCTCACCAGCGCTGAGAGGTGAGGTGTGGATTCGAAGCTTCTTTGGAGTCGATTGAGAATCTGTTTTTGAGTCGACTGACTCACAAACAGGCCGTTCCCTCCATCCTCAGCTGGCTAACGGGCGCTGAGAGGTGAGGGTGCGCCAGCTGAGGCTCACCTGGCTCAGTGTTCGGAAATCCAGTGCTGAGTGAGCATGGCTTGCTGTGGCTCCCTTGTGATAATAGAGGGTTTTTGAGACGTCCCAAAAACTTTGTGTTATCACATGTGGCCAGCTGAGGCTCACCAGGCTTGGCATTCGAAACACCAGTGCTGAGTGAGAATGGCTCGCTGTGGCTCCCTCTGTCTCCCTAACCTGTCCCATCCCCCGACCTCTCCATCTCCCTACCCCTCTCATATGCCTGCCCCTTCCCTCCCTCTCCTGCAGTACACGGGAGGATCAGATGTTGCTGAGGCAGCTGCTGATGGCAGTGCGGGTGGCGGCAAGTGAGGAGGCGGGGGGGCTGGACTGGTGGAGTGGCGTCAAGTGCTTCTACTCCAAACGAGTCACCTTCAAACGGGACAAAGCAGCCCCTGTGGCTTCGGCTCCCACTCCCACCCCTGCACCTACGTATGTTCTCTTAGCAGGTTGCATGCATGCACCACACATGCACGCACCACACCACACATGCATGCACCACGCACACATGCATGCACCACACACACACGAATAAAAAACGGATATCTCGAACACGAATGGGTCACACATGGGCGCACATGACACACTATGCCCATATCACATGAGCCTCACACAATCCGTATGCATATGACTCTGTGCCATACCACATGCTCACGTGCACGCATAGATCCCATGCTTATTGCCATTTCTTCTTACTAGTCAGGATCGTGGGTCGTCTCATCACCTCCGTTTTTTTCTCCTACTGCGTCCCCCACCATCTCCCCACAGCACCATTGAACTTGCCCCGGTTACCACCTAGCAGCAGATCCTTCAGGCACTTTTGAGGCGCCTCAAAAGGCCTCTCAAGGCGGAGTGCTCGCCCCGATTACTGGCTTGAATGCAGTTGTGCTGAGAAGGGCTGCTGCTAGATGCCCTCGCAGGGGGCTGCTGCTAGTGCTCAGTTGTGCAGATAGCCATGTGGTTACCCTGGAGTATTGTTACGTGTTGTGGTGCGATTGCTCTTGTGCGGTCCTCTGTGTGCAGTAACTGAGAACCCACCCCACCAGCTCTTGTGGGGTGTTTGAGGAACAAATCAGAACAAGCACTAGGAGGATGCTTGTCCACAACACAAATACAAGGGAGGATGTTACACCTTTTCTCAGCTGTGGTTTATATTGTCATCCAAAAAACGATTTCTTGTTGTTTTCTTCCAATCTCTTCTCCCTCTGTCACAGCACAGAGAGAAAACGGGGGAAGAAAAGGGGGGGAGACGGGGAGGTGGGGAAAGGGGGAGTGGGAGAAGGGAATAAAAGCATGACAGAATGAGGACTAGCTCAACAGTAGAAGCCCCATGCCCATCTCTCATGCACCATCTCTCATGCACCATGTCTCATGTACCATGTCTCATGCACCATGTCTCATGTACCATGTCTCATGCACCATGTCTCATGTATAATGTCCGTGTAAGCAAGTCGTGCACCATGCTCACATCTTGTTTCCGGCACTCCTTGTACGCGTCGAATTTGTCCTCGCACTTGCTCTTGTCGTAGCCGTTCTTATCCAAACCTGGACACAATAATAGCGGGGATGAAGTGAACGAGCTTGGACACAACCAACGGCTGGCGTTTGGTGCACTAGTTACAGACTAAATGCACCTATCCCGTGATCGCGATTGAAGGTGATTTGCAGTAAAGTGTTACCGAGGTGTTACGCGTGCATGTTTGAGTTAGTACGAGATAGCTTTTCGCTATGGTGTGAAGTGAGGAGAGTGGTGACAGAAGGAGTGGTCACTAAAGTCTCTAGCGTCGCGCATCGAGCGGCGGAGGTCGTACATTTTAAGGAGTCCGCGTAGTGCGCGGCGCACATGTGATCGGACATGCGACCCGTCCGACGCGCCGCCTCTGCCTCGCGTGCAGCGATGGCCGACTGCTCCGTTGAACCCGGCGCCGAATCCGCCATCGCGCGTCTCTTCAGAGTGCGAGTTACAACTGTAACTCGGGATCCTAAAAACTTTCGTCCTTCCTGGCTCCTTCGTGACGAAGGAAAGCGAATCGACAGCTGACAGTTTGACAGCTTTCAGGCCGCAACACAGCGCGTTAGGCTTTCGTGAAAGCTTCTCCCTAGTTCTGCTCTCCCTCTCTGCGTCTGCGACTGCGTTTAAAAGAATCCAAGGTTCGCCAACAGTGACTGGTTTTGGATTAAAACGTGGCGAACCGCGACTGCTGTGCTGTCAATGGGAGCAGTTGGCGGAAAGCGAACGCGAAGGAGCGAAGCGAACGATTTCGAAGAGCACGCAGAACACATATGCCGGATGTTTTGCCGAAGTGAGAAACATAAATCGAGAAGAGGAGCTGCAACTGGCTCTGGATTGTGCGAGATGCACGACAAGTTTGCGCGCTGTCTGGAATTTCGTGAGTTCTTGCGAGTTTCGTGTCCCAGCTTCATCCCAGACGTTCCAAGTTCGGACTCGCTCTGGAAAAGCAGAATTTTGAAGGACGTATTCTCCATGCAGAAATACATGCTTTTTCTCAAGAAATATGTAACCAGAATCTCGTTAGTCTCGTTTAGTGTTGTCGCTAAACCTTGCAGAGGGGCCAACGTAACTTGAACAGAACGTCGCGAACATTGGCGAGCGCGTGATCATCGCAACCCAGTGTTTAGAGTGTCAATCATTGAAGCACCACAAACAACTTCGGAAGTCAAATTAACCCTCTCTGTAGTCATTGATGCGTCGGGACCACGCCTGAAGCAGCTACCGAGCCCGTTACAGGCTTGGTGGAACACCTCGCTCGAGCTCCCCAAGAAAAGTACGACCCACATCATTTTGTGGTACGTGGTTTCGATCTGAAAGTTCGAACTAGTTCCTCACGAACTGGTAACTCTGACACATCCTCCTCCTTCCTTGCCGTCGCAAGTTTTGCGCTGCTGATCCCCCACGACCCGATCGCTCACACGACCCGATCGTCGCTTTCATTCCAATTCACATGTCGCTGGTGCCACTGCTGGCTCACCCTCTGTCCATGTAGCATCAGAGGGTCGTAAGCATTGTCACTTTTTTAGTCCTCAGCAATTTTCCTGTCACAGTATTGCATTTCTCTCCGATTGGGACGTTTGGATTTTGCCAAAGGAGGGGTTGAGTACCTTTTGGCTCCACCTTTAAAATAGAATTTCCCCGTGGCGTCGGATCGGACGGATCACGCGGAAAGCAGCTGCCGTGCCTCTGGGATGGAAGCTGATCAACTAGCAGCAGCAGTTCCCCATGTGGCACTTGCTGCTTCGGCTGAGCTCGCCGCAGGGGACGCGACTGGCGGAGATACGCGCACCGATGGCGGAGCTTTGTGCGCGGATAACGGCGCGCGCGGGAATGAAGATGAGGGGAGAGGTGGAGTGAGTGGGGAAGGCAGAATAGAGAAGAAAAGCGGAGAGGTAGGGAGCGACAAAGGGGATGGAAAAGGAGAAAAGCGGGATGGCGGAGAAAGGACGGAGGGCGGAGAAGGAGGGGAAGAGAGAGAGGGATTAAGCAGCGGCAAGGTATCGAATGACGCTACTAACGGGGACACGAGCGCGCAGGAGGCCAAACCAGTAACTAAAAACGCTACTAACGGGGACGCGAGTGCGCAGGACGACAAGCCGCTGTCGAAGAACGCGCAGAAGAAACTGGCGAAGCGGCAGGCGATGCAGGAGCGGAAAGAGCGCGAGCGCGCGGAGGCGCAGCAGAAGCGTGCGGAGCAGCAGAAGCGCGCGGAGCAGGAGGCGGCGGCCAAGGAGGCGAGCATGACGGCGGAGGAGCGCGCGGAGGCCGCCGCTCGGCAGCGGGAGAAGGCGGAGGCGCGGCGGGTGGCGGAGGCGGAGAGGCGGAAGGCGTGGGCGGAAAAGGCGGAGAAGGGTCCGGGGCTGATAATCGACTTGGAGTTTGAAGAGCTGATGGGGGAGAGGGAGCTGTCGAGCCTGCAGCAGCAGGTGAGGGGCAGGAGATGGGCATAGGAGGTTACTGCAAGGGGAATGAGGGTTCGAGGTTTAAGGATTTGGCCGTATGGCAGCATGGTGCAAGGGGATTGAGGGTCCGGGGCTCATTATTGACTTGGAGTCTGAAGAGTTGATGGGGGAGAGAGCTGTCGAGCCTGCTGCAGCAGGTGAGGGATGGCGGGTTTAGGGTTTCAAATATCGACTTCAGTGTTGAGGAGCGATGGAGGGCTGTGGAGCCCCTCGTGTGGTTCCACTCCCAGTCAGCGCCTAGTTGGTTTTCCTACGACTTTTGAGGTGCCTCATAAGCCACTTCCCCCCCGTACCGCAGGTCGTGTACTCAACTGCTTCCCCCCGACTCCCCCATCCCATTCTACCCCTTCACCCCATCTCTTCTTCCCCCCAGGTCATGTTCTCCTACGCACTGAACCACCGCGCCCCCTCCCCCTGCCGCCTCACCCTCTCCGGCCTCCCCCCAGCCAGCCCCTTCCTGCACCGCCTGCAGCGAATCGCCGGCTTCGACAGCTGGCACGGCGTGACTGTGGAGCCGCGTTCCTATATCGAAGCCTGGGCGGGCAGGGAGGTGGAGCTGGTGTATTTGACTGCAGATGCGGAGGAGGAGGTGGGGGAGGTGGAAGCGGGGAAGGTGTATGTGGTGGGGGGGATAGTGGATCACAATCGGTACAAGGGGCTGACTAAGGGGAAGGCGGAGAAGCAGGGGATTAAGACGGCAAGGCTGCCAATCGGGAAATACCTCAACCTGAAAACTTCCAAGGTGGGTGTTCAGAATGGTGCAGTGCGGTGCTGTGCGATGGAGATGAGTGCAGTACGATTTAGTGTGGTGCAGTGAGATGTAACGTGTGGTGGGGGAGATAGTTGATCACAATCAGTCCAAGGGGCTGACGAGGGGGAAGGCGGAGAAGCAGGGAATCAAGAGAGGTTGCCAATTGGGAAATACCTGAACTTGAAGACTTCCAAGGTGGGTAAGCAGAGCAATGCAGCACAGTGTTGTGTGGTGCTGTGCAGTGCACTGCAGTGCAGTGCAGTGCGGTGAGATGTATTGTGTAGAATGGTAGACTTTTTGGACATTGCATGGACCGAGAGAACGGCAAGCTGTATGACAATTGACCATGTTGCCTCAGCCATCATTTTCACCCCTTGCACTACCTGCAGCACAGGGACTCGTAACTTGTTGCTTGTTTCCCACAGAGTTTCCCTCGTTCCCTGTTTGTTTTAACAGGTGCAAGTGCTAGCAGTGAACCACATGGTGGACATCATTCTGCAGCACCTGCACCACAGGGACTGATGGTGATTTGTGCAGGAACTACTACCTCCGTTGCTTCTCTCACCTCACTCCACCCCGCTACACTACACTACGCCCCTCTCCACCCCACCCTGCCTCCCAGGTATTGGCTGTGAACCACGTGGTGGACATAATCCTGCAGTACCTGCAGCACAGGGACTGGGAGAAAGCAGTGGCGGTTGTTGTGCCAACCTGCCATTCTGTGCTGTTAACCCATGTCACCTTATAACCATCCCCTTTGTTCGCCCCGTGCAGGTGCTGGCTGTGAACCATGTGGTGGACATTATTCTGCAGTACCTGCAGCACAGGGACTGGGAGAAAGCAGTGGCGGCTGTGGTGACAGCTTACTGTTTGCCCCAACCACTAATACCACCCCATTTGTTTTCCCCGTGCAGGTACTGGCAGTGAACCATGTGGTGGACATTATTCTGCAGTACCTGCAGCACAGGGATTGGGAGAAAGCAGTGGCGGCTGTTGTGCCTGATAGGAAGAAGACGGACAGACCTGAGGGTGACAATAATGAGAGTGATACTAGTGAAAGAGAAGCTAAGAGGGCTAAATGTGAGAGCAAAGAATGACTGCGACTGATTGTCCAGGTTCTGTTGGGTGCCTCGATTGTTTTGACAAATGTATTATGCGTCTGGTGAAAATCACTATTGAAGGAGATTCATATGCGATGCACTGAAAAAATATGTGCGAACGTCCTACTTAATCAATGAAGGATGCATTTGAAACAAGCACGTGCTAAGTAGGTCAGCGTACACCCTGAAGAACAATACAGTACAGTACATTATCTGCATGCGGCAATATCGCAGTGATGCATCGGTTGCATTCCATCTTTCCCTCAAGGCTCGAGTCTCCATTTCCTTCGCGACTTTTCCGAAAAACCCAGCTCTCCTTCTGAATGCGTTGGTTCTAGGATTAGTTACAGGGCTGGCATGGCGGAGTCATTAACGCGTTTCTATCCGGCGAATGCGGTGTTAGAGCCTTCGCGATCGTCTAGCGTTAGGTCGTCTTGCGAGCATTGCGGAGGAAGAACGGCGAGTTTCACGAAAGGCAGTTACCAAATACCGAGTCGACGAACCACTGGCGATCTTCCCGATAGGAGCAGCACCGCACGATCAACCCGAGCAAGAGCTCTTCCGTCTCATCCTCGATATAGTCCATCTCGTCTAAATAGTCTAGAAACAGTTCGAGAGTGCCATCCGTTAAGTTTCTCACGGAGCTCTGCTCGCGTCGAAGGGACAGCCGACACGGGAGCTGATCAACGGTCATCCTTCGCTCAGGCTGGCGGTGCGAACAGTGTGAATCCGCGATCGCGAAGATCGCGAAGTTCGCGAGGATATTTTCAGCAATGCCAGGCTGGCGCGGATGACTCGGCGCGCTTCACGAGCTTCGAGCGCGAGCAGGAGGGCAATGAAGCGGAGGAAAGGCGGCGGACGGCAGCTGGGCGGCAGGCCGGTGGCCGGCCGGGCGTGTCGTTTTCTGCAGCTGGCCGGAACGGCGACAACAGTTTCAACGGCGTGTTCCTGCTGCTTCTGCTGAACCTTCTGGCGTTTCTAGCGGATCACTTTCTACGGGTATGACTTTGCAACGGGTACGACTTTTGGGCCGCCTCGAAACTTGCTGCAGCGTCTTGCTCAAAGACTTCGTTTCTTTTAACTGCCGTTAAGAAATACAGATGGAATTATTATAGCATTCTTATTGGATCAGTTGCTACGGGTACAGACGAACAGTCTGACTGCCACCCTACACCACCCTACACCAAAGCTTACTAGTTCGACTTGTTCCTTTCTTTATCCCTTGGATATCACATATGCAGCTCCTTCCATTCTCTGTAGCAGCCAAACAGCAAGTAGCCGAACTTCTCGATTTCCTGATCGACTAAATATCCTTCCATTTTCCGTAGCAGCTAGACAGCAAGTAACCGAACTTCTCCTTTCCTCTTACACCTATCCGTTAGCATCTATCATCTCTTCTCCCCTTACCTCTCTCCCCTCGCCTCTGCTCCCACCAGCTCCCAGTGTGGTCGTCTCTCTATCTGCACCACGCCTCTCCGCGCTGGTACCAGTTCGTCACCTCAACATTCTGCCACGCTGGCTGGTGAGTCGCTTGACAGTTCTTGAGTCGTCATTGACAGTTCTTGAGTTCAAGCGGATGTTCTCTGCCCTTTAAGCATTTATTTCCTAGGCATGCTTATATGCCACGTGGCAAGCTTATCCGCCGTGCACCATTGTTATTCTTACATACCTTTCACTGTATCCTCTTACCAAATCCTCCCTTTTTCCCCCTCCCTCTCCCCTCCCTCCCTTTCTCCAACAGGAGCCATCTCTCAAGCAACCTCTTCTTCCTCTACATATTCGGTACGCTCTCTCTTTTCTCCTTCTCCCTCCATATTGCCCCGTTTCCTTCTCACCATGCTTGTTTACCTCCCTGCAGCGGACTTTTAATCCCATTGCCTCACCTCCATCCCATTGCCTCACCTCCATCCGATCGCTCCACCTCCATCCGATCCCATGCTCTAACCTCGTCTCATGGCTGCCACTCCCCTCTTCCTCTCTCTCACTCAAGGAACAAAAATACGGTCGTATTTTTGAAATGTTACCGTTTTAAACGGTTTCTCATAATAGGCTCCTGTGAGAAATCGTAGAGCAATTTCAAAAAAACGACCCTATTTTTGTTCCTTGCTCTCACTACCTCGTTCACACATTCACTCACTCTTTCTCTCAGGTCGGCTAGTGGAGGAGGAGGAGGGAACCCTGGGCCTGTAGGTAACCTACCTCGTGACAGGCGCAGGTTCCAACCTCGTGTCCTGGCTGCTCCTCCCATCGTACACCGTCTCTGTCGGTGCCTCTGGTGCCGTCTTTGGCCTCTTTGTCGTCAGCGTGCTTACCCGGGTAAGTACTGATTCTCACTGCGATGAATATGGCTTGCGAAATGGTGCAGTGCGGTGCTGGGGTATTCACAACTTGTCCTGGCTGCTCCTCCCATCGTAAACCGCCTCTGTCGGTGCCTCTGGTGCTGACTTCGGCCTCTTCGTTCGTTGTCAGCGTGCTTACCCGGGTACGTACGTATAATTCCATGGTTGCTGCAGCTGCAGTGGAATTTGAGGAGGATCGCGGAGGTGACTGACCATTTTTGAGATGTTTGCAAACTTGTGCGTGCTTCCGCCACTGAATGCTCCTCGTGATAACTCTTGCTCTCTTGTTCCTGTGTGTTCATTCCATTGCCTGTTGCAGCTGCAGTGGAACTGGAGGAGGATCGCGGAGGTGACCGACTGTTCTTGAGATGTTTAATCATTGTGGCTGGTTCCTCCCCTTGTTTCTTCCATTAACTGTTGCAGCTGCAGTGGAACTGGAGGAGGATCGTGGAGGTGGTCATTCTGGGGCAGTTCGTGGTAGAGAAGGTGAGAGCAGGGGAGGGGAGGAGGGGGGAGAGAGGAGGGGGAAGGGGGGGCGGGATAGACGACCGTTCGGGAGGAAAGAAAACAAACTCGAGGAGGGTCGTTGAGGTGGTTATCGTGAAACAAACTCGAGGAGGGTCGTTGAGGTGGTTATCGTGAAACAAACTCGAGGAGGGTCGTTGAGGTTGTTATCGTGAAACAAACCCGAAGAGGGTCGTTGAAATATACCATCCTCTTCCACCGATCCCTCCCTCCTCTCGAACTCTCCCTCTTATCCCCACGCAGGTCCTGTCAGAGGCGCGGAACTCGGCAATCATGGGGGTGGGCATGGCGGCAGGGTCGGGAGTGAACCACATCGCCCACCTGGCAGGGGCGCTGGTGGGAGTGCTGCTCATCTGGATGGTGTCCCGCCTGCCTGATGCCAGCAGCAGGGATAGCGGGGAGGGGAGTGGCAAGAACCCTCGTGTGACATAGCATGTTGCTCACCTGCTGCACCTCTGCTCTGTTGCTGCTCTTGCTAGGAGTGCTACTCATTTGGCTAGGGTCACGCCTGCCCGATGGGAGCAGCAGGGATGGTGGGGAAGGGAGTGGCAGGGACAGCAGCAACAGCACAGATGGCGGGAAGGCAGCAGCAGAGTGCAACTCACGGAGCATGCTGCTCGCCTGCTGACCCCCAATCACTCTTTGCATGCTCCTCTGCTGTTCCTTTGCTCTAGTATTGCTCCTGTCAGTCAGTAAATCTGCACAGTGGATGCCCGATTGATCCTTAGGGGGGTTACAGGCGCGTTCGCCTGGGGGGTTATGGGCGCACGAACCCGCTACACAAACAAGCCTTTTTATCCCAGTGGTCTAGTGGTTGAGAGCGGTCTCGGGTTCGAATCCCGGTGTATGCGCATGTAGGCCTTCGCCGCTGTACTCAGTCCTGGGCCTCCCAGATGTTAGACCCTAATGAGCAGGAATGGTTGCATTGAATGAGTTGTGGGTACAAGTACTAACCCTAACATTGGGTTGTACCCTATATGGGCTACCCCATTATAGCCTACATTGAACTAGCACAGATATATAGTTTGGCACACTCCCATAGGCAAAGTGTGGGAGAACAAGGGGTCACAGCCCCAGTCAAGAAAAGCAAAACAAGCTCAGGGTGGATCATTGTTGGAAACAACCAGTCTTAAGCGCCTCTGTCGTGTCGAAACACCAAGACACAAGCGAAGCAAAGCATATCGAGGCACCAGCGAGTCAACCCTCGGAGGTTGAAGTAACTGCTGGAGGTTACGCGAAAGTCAAAGGTCAGTGACCTTTGACCTGACAAGTACAGCGCGACAGCAAGGACACACAACTGACTCGCTACAGAGCAGTTGCCCGAGTCGTCACTGTATCGAACCGCAACAGCAACAGTAAAACAGTTACCGTCATAACCCGGATATAAGACAGTGTTGAATAGTAGACAGGGGTTGTCTATTATACGGGTGTCTCTTATAAACGGGGTAGCCTCATTATAAGACACCTATTTGTGTGTAGGGGCAAATGGCAAATGTATAACGAGGAAGTATCTTCTAAACGGATTTTTGTCCATTTATAAGACTGATTTTTTTAATGTATGAGATAAGACATACATGTCTTATATCCGGGCGATGACGGTATAACTGTATCCTTTCATATTCCTTGTACTCTTATATAATCTTGTATCTCTTTGTTCTAATCAATCTACTTTGCCCTCACATACTAGCGCAAGGTGGTTCACAATACTTCATTAAACGCTTCCGCTATTTCATCAGTACTCAGAGTTCATCCCTGCAAAGATCCTAAGGGCATTTCTCAGGACAATACGTCACCACACACTCCGAGCAGAAGCAAAGGGTCACAAGGCCAGTTCACATGCAGAGGTATATATGCAACAACAACAGTACAGTGATCACTACCTAGCAAGAGTAAACATGAAGGTATATATATATATATATATATATATATATATATATCACAGTACAACCAAAGTCTACAACAAGTGAGGAAACGTAGGCACCAGGCCTAGAGCAGTGCAGTGCAGAAGCGCTGATGATCACCAGCCGGAAGGGCCTTGGTGAACACATCAGTCGTGTTCGCTCGGGAGGACACGTGAGCGACACGAAGCTGTCCACGCTGCTGCACCTCTCGAGCAAGGAAGTAACGCAGAGCGATGTGCTTCGTTCTGTGCTCAAGTATGTGCTCCTGACACAAGGCAACGTCAGCCTTGTTGTCGACGTACAGCACTGGAGGAGAACGAGGCCTCTCTCCCAAGTCAGTCAGCAGGTAGGTGAGCCAGCGTAACTCCTGTGCAGCCACGGCTGTGGCGTAGATCTCAGCCTCACAACTGGAGCTGAGAACAGAAGACGAGCGTGTAGACCGCCAAGAAACAGAGCCAGAGCCAAGGCTGAACGTGTAAACCTGTGACGACCGCTGCGTAGCCAGGTCGTCAACCCAAGAAGCGTCTAAGTGCCCAGTGAGGACAACTGGACTCCGCCCTCCAAGCACGAGCCACATGCCCGATATACTGCACAAGTAGCGCAGTACCCTCTTCGCAGCATCGAAGTGCACCTTTCGGTGCCTACCAGGAGCCACGTAGCGTGCCAGGAGGCCAAGAGGGTACGCAAGGTCAGGACGAGTGCAGGTCATCAGGTACATGAGGCAGCCCACTAGCTCTGGGTATGGACCACTCGGCTCTACAGACTCGTCCGAAGGTGGAGCTGAGAGCGAGTGACCTGTAGCCAGGGGAGTGGGCTGTGGCGAGGACCAAGTGAAGCCGAAGCGCTGAAGGACCTGCTGCACCATGTGTGACTGAGTCAGTGTGATGGTGCGCCGTGCTCTGTCCCGGCTAATCTGCAAGCCAAGGTAGCTGCGCAGCTCACCTAGGTCTGTGCACGTGTGTCTCTTCTGCAGCTCCGACTTCACAAGGGCAAAAGCCTCAGTGTCAGCAGTGGCAAAGATCAAGTCATCGACGTAAACGAGGATGTAGAACGGCGGCAACGAAGTGTCGGTGCGAAGAAACAGCGACGGGTCAGCAGTGGAAGGTGCCAACCCAAGAGCCGCAAGTGTCGTCCTCAGCGTGTCGTGCCACTCGCGAGGCGCATGACGGAGACCGTAGACCGGCCAGCGGAGGCTCCACTGGGTACCAGGAGGGAACGACCCAGTGAAGCCAGGTGGGCGGCGCAGTCAGATCTCCTCGTGCAGACTGCCCTGTAAGAACGCTGTGCTGAAGTCCAGAGAGTGAAGCTCGTAGTCACGCTGAGTGGCAACGTGCAGCAGCACCCGAAGAGTGGTCATCTTCGGGGTGGGGGAGAAGGTTTGGAAGAAGTAAACTCCTTGTCGCTGACTGAAGCCTCGTGCAACGTAGCGAGCCTTGAAGACAGACGGAGAACCCGGCGGCCGCTTCACCCCGAAAATCCACATGCCATCGACTACGTTCACCCCAAGAAGGGGAACTGCGTCAACGTAAGTGCCTGTGGACTTCCAGGATGCCATCTCTGCATCCATGGCTGTCTGCGACTGAGAAGAGTACTCACCCGCGATCGCCTCAGCGTAAGAGCGCGGGGTCGGGATGTCTGGAGCTTCCGGGTCTCCCTCAGGGGCAAGCAGCATGGCCACGAGATGAGGCGCAGCGGCTGCAACACACTCAAAGTCCTCCTGCCTGTCCTCAATGTCGAACCAGCAGGCAAAAGTTAGAAACAGGAAAGAGGGCTTTTCACTAGCAGCAGTTGAGATACATATAGGAAACCCTAATTGGGTTGTACTCGCTATAGAGTACCCCACTGCAGGTTAGACAAACATTGACATTCTGACACACCCCCATAGTCAAAGTGGGGTACAATCAACACAACAAGCAGGCAGTGCAATAGTTCACAAGGATAAGCAAAGCTAGAGGCTATCACAGAGGGCAAGTGAGGAGGAGGAGAAACTGTGGAGGGCGAGAAGATGAGAGGCGACGGCTGAAGCTGCAGACACACGGGCAACAGGAGTGCGCAGCACTGACGCTACCAGGCTAAACCCGGGCTACACGGCAACAGGCGCAGCTGGCTCACTGTGCTCCCAGGAGTGCTCACACTGTGGCTACCGGGCACAGAGCCCCGGACTACACGGCCACAGGGGGTCGTGGCTCTCTGGACTACCAGGAGTGCTCACACTGTGGCTACCGGGCGCAGAGCCCCGGACTACACGGCCACAGGGGGTCATGGCTCTCTGGACTTCAGGCGCTGCGGACGACAAGTCGGCTACCTCCGGTCAACCTCCCCCAACTGTCCCACACCCCTTTCACACACCCCCTGCTGAACCACTAGCACCGCTCACACGCCACCCCCCTCGTACCACTTCGACGGCTCCAACACATCCACCCCCCTCAGCGGCAGCTGCAGCAGTGGGAGACGGAGGAGGAGGAGGAGCAGGGGACGGCTCACACACACGGCACCCCCATACTCTCCACCCCCAAACCCTAACACAGGAGTGCGGTCAGAAGCTCGGGGGACGGCGTGCGGCTCTGGGGCAGACGGTACGGGCCGCTCATGGGCCTGGCGCAGGCCGGACGAACCGCGCGCGGGCTGCCTGAGCCGCGCGCAGGCCTGGCGCAGCCCGTACGGGCCGCGCGCGGGCCTGGCGCAGGCCGTACGGGCCGCGCGCGGGCTGTACGGGCCGCGGGCGGGCCTGGCACAGCCCGTACGAGCCGCGCGCGGGCCTGGCGCAGGTCGCGCGGGCCGCTACGGGCGACGGGGGGCGACGCGCAGGTCCTCGGGGGCGCTGCGACGAGCGACGGGGGGCGACGCGCGGATCGACAGGGCAGAAAACCGCCACGCGCCCCGAGCGCGTGGCGGGATGAAAAATACGCCGTGCACCCGAGCGCGCGGCAAGCAGAACACGTCGCGCACGATAGGCAGGACAGCAGTGGAAGCCATAGGTGGCGGGCCTATCCACAGGATCGACCCAGGAGGGTCGACCTGCTCTGATAGCGTGTCGAACCAGCAGGCAAAAGTTAGAAACAGGAAAGAGGGCTTTTCACTAGTAGCAGTTGAGATACATATAGGAAACCCTAATTGGGTTGTACTCGCTATAGAGTACCCCACTGCAGGTTAGACAAACATCGACATTCTGACACTCAAGGACGTCCGTGCCAAGAGCACACTCACCCCCGACGGACGAAGGACAGACAGACTCAGACTCAGCAACAAGACTAGCAGCGAAGTCTAGACGACAGGCAGCAGCAAATTCAACAAGCTCAGAGACTAAGGCAGACGCAGCAGCAGACTCAAACGACGGGTCAGTGACAACAGTGACTAGCAGACGCGTGACAGTAGGGTGAGCAGCACGAACTAGGTCAAACTTAGGGTCCGGAACATCAGACAGAGAAGACGCAGGAGGAGAAGGCAGGGGGACATGCTGTGGAACAGAGGAAGGACAAAGTGCCATAGTGTGCGTGCCAGGGACAGGAGGACGCTCACGAGGAACACGACGACCAGTGCGACCAGCGCGAACAGGCGAGGTAGGACGAGACGCATGCTCACGACGCTCTGTAAGTGAGTCTGTCTGGTCAGTGTAAGGAGAAGAAGCAGGCAGTGGAGAGCCTGGCTGTAACGTGAGGCCAGTAGAAGACGGGAGGCTAAGAACCTGGCGAAGCATGGAGTCAGGCGGTGGAAGAGACGACGGTGACGGCTGTGAGAGTACGACGGCTTATGCTGGCTTTGCTAGCTTGCCT